TTCACGTTTAGTTGGAGTAAGCAAAGCCCCATTGATTCAGCATTTTTCTGAAACGATCTCAGGGTCAACAACCATCAGGAGTTTCAATCAAGAATCAAGATTCCGTGGTGACAACATGAGCCTTAATGATGGTTTCTCTAGGCCTAAATTCTATTTAGCTGGAGCAATGGAATGGCTTTGCTTTAGACTCGATATGTTATCATCACTTATATTTGCCTTTTCACTTGTTTTCTTGATCTCTATTCCTACTGGAGTGATTGATCCAAGCCTAGCGGGACTGGCAGTGACTTATGGACTCAATTTGAATACCTTGCAAGCTTGGCTGATCTGGACTCTCTGTAATCTTGAGAACAAAATCATATCTGTTGAGAGGATTCTTCAGTATGCTAGTGTTCCCAGTGAACCACCTCTTGTGATAGAATCAAACCGGCCTGAGCAGTCATGGCCTTCACGTGGTGAAGTAGACATCCATGATCTTCAGGTAATTATGCTATTACAAACTATGAAAATATTACGTAAAATTTCATGCTATATATCCCCCACTTGTTTGCTTACATTCTTAACCATTTATGACACATTGTTTAGGTTCGGTATGCACCACATATGCCACTAGTGTTGAGAGGAATAACATGCACATTCAAAGGAGGTTTGAGAACAGGTATTGTTGGAAGAACAGGTAGCGGGAAATCGACTTTGATACAAACACTTTTCAGGATTGTGGAGCCTTCAGGTGGTGAAATCAAGATAGATGGAGTGAATATATTGACCATAGGGTTGCATGACTTGCGTTTGAGACTTAGTATTATACCTCAAGATCCAACCATGTTTGAAGGAACTGTGAGAAGTAACTTGGACCCACTTGAGGAGTACACTGATGATCAAATATGGGAGGTGTGTTTAGTTTCTGTCTTTTTCTTAAACTTGTAAGAATCTGTTATTGATTCATTTGTGTTGTTAGGCTCTTGACAAGTGCCAACTAGGAGATGAGGTGAGGAAGAAGGAGCAAAAGCTGGACTCATCTGTGAGTGAGAATGGAGAGAACTGGAGCATGGGTCAGAGGCAGCTTGTGTGTCTTGGAAGAGTTCTTTTAAAGAGAAGCAAGATCTTGGTGCTTGATGAAGCTACTGCTTCGGTTGACACTGCAACTGACAATCTGATCCAGAAGACGTTAAGAGAACACTTTTCAGATTGTACAGTGATAACAATTGCACACAGGATATCTTCGGTTATTGACAGTGACATGGTTCTGCTTCTTAGCAATGGTTTGTCTGAAACTATTTTTGATAGAACATGTGTGTTTTTGAACAGATAAATCATTGAGGAGTGTGTTGTTTTTTTTGTTATATGTGCAGGGATCATTGAGGAGTATGATTCGCCAGTGAAGTTGCTGGAGAACAAGTCTTCATCTTTTGCTAAACTTGTGGCTGAGTACACCACAAGATCTAGTTCCAGTTTTGATTAAACATCTGTTTTCTTAGTGATGACGATGAAAAAAAAGTAGGGAAGCATGAGTTTCAATAGTACTTATTATACTTTAAACCTAGTATTCTTACTTGTAGACTGTATAATGTCCGAAGCCAAAAAACCAGCGGTTCTGCATTGCATCTTTCAATAAATTCAATAAGGAATGTTTATAGTTCTCTTATAAGAGTCCCAGATTCACTTGAATGAAAAAGTTACCGTTCTAGCTCAAATTGGACCGAAACCAAATTGGAGTGGGACAAAACCGAGTAATATAAGAGCTTCACTGGTTCTCCCGCAAAGGCAGCTTTTGCAGTTGATAGCGGTTTTTGGAATTTTGCAACAATCACAAAAAATGCTATAAACCGATTTAAATCGCTCTGAGTTTCTAAAATTCAAAAGCTGGTTCCAGCTAGCTTTGCGATTGCGGGAGAATAAAAATATGTTTTTTTCCAGAAAATTATATAAATATAAAAATAAAATATTCATTTAAAATTTCAATTAAAATAACTGAAATATTGAAATATTTATATTATAAAATTTCCAAAAAATATTTTCTATAATTTTTTTTTAAAAATTAATTGTACAATTTTATCGATAATTTTATTTATTTATTATAAAATAATATGATTTTAATATTTTGATAATTATATAAAATATAAATATTCTTAATTTATTATTTAACCGCTGTTATATTTGGTAATAAACCAGTCATAAGTATCTCGCAAGTACATCAACTTTTAACCGTTGAACTAGTCGTCTAAATCTTTTACTAACGTTTAAAACCGCAATTTCCTGCATCCGTAACCGTAATCGCTGCGTTGTAACCAGTCAGACCCTAAATGAGCTGAACGTTGATATAGATAAATGGGTCTAAAGTTCTTGTCATATTTTTTAAGCATTTTGGAAGTGAGATTCAGCGAACTTCATTTAACGTATTTTACTTTCCATTTTGAAATTAATTTATTATTGGAATATAGGTGTATATTTATCTTTTTTGATAAAACATTAAGTGTTATTTTGGTCATTTTTATTCTTATGTGCTATATTTGTGACATAAAAAAATTTTAGTGTTATTCTACTGTTATTCTACTGAGCTAATAAGCCCTTTTTTTAATAGAAATATCTACTTTATTAAAACAGAAGTACCCAAATAAATTACCCCTTAATTTTTCAAGTTATTTACAATCATATGCCACTGAAGTAATAAATTTAGCTATATTTTAGTTTTGTTGTCTTTTTCTATTTATTAATGCATTTTTCTTAATCTAAATTTAACTAAAAAGAGGGAAGTGATTTATTAGCTTCTCTAAACAAATAAAATAATTAAATTAAAATTTCAAACCAGAAAATTCCCAGCATACATAATTAATAAATAATCTTTACTGTAATAATATAATGGAAAAACTAAAATACATAAACAATTATAATATTAAATATTATTAATCACCTAATTTGCTTCTAATTTAATTTTTGTTCCTTGCTTTGCGGATCGACCTATAATATTAGAATTCATTATGTAAAATACCTATACAAAAATTCTTCACCTCTTATATAGAGTAATCAAATTTTTTACCACTTATATCGATTGCAGGTGAACCATATGTTAATAAATAAATGAAATTTACTACATAATAATATATTATATATTTAAAATATAAGAAATTTTTTTTATTTATGAAAACAAATCTGAAAATAAAAAATCAAAATTACAGAAGTCAAGTTGTAAATAAACTTCACGATAAACAAAAAAATCAAAAGACATAAAAAATCGAAAGACAAACAAAGTCAACAGTAGAAGAAAATGATTGTAAAAAAATAAAAACCTACTTTTTATATAAAATACAAAAAAAATTTTGATAACATAGTTACAAAATCTAAAATAAAAAAAGGTAGAAATTATCTATTGGATCGAATTCGAGATTTTAACGGTTTTTTACTGCTTTTATTGTGTTCTTATATAAGGAAATTATGTCAAATGATCCTAAAAATTTATATATTTCATTAACTAACTAAAACTTCACCTTCTCTCCTCTTTTCTTTTACTATCTCTCTACCTTCTTACTATAAATCTAATTTTGTTTTTCTTAGTAATTTCATAAATAAGTTCTTTTATATAGTTGTGTTTTCTAAAACCAAACTAGATTACATATAGGTGACCGAATTTCTTGGTTCAATCTCGAGTCTGTCGAATTTTAAAACACTGATTATGTATCGAATATAACATGTAATATAAATAAAAAATAAAATTTAAAAATAAACTCGCGCGGTTGCGCGGGTTAGGATCTAGTACAATTATTAAAACTAATACTATAAATTATCTTTATACGATAGGGGTATTAGTGTCATTTTGAATATGCCACTTGCTCCTGACTTTGGTCTGAGAAAAAACAATTTGATGGAGGAGGAAAGGCAAGGTGAGACGCAGTTTTTTTTTTATCTCCGCAACCTAGGGGTGGGACAGATCGGATATCCAGGGTATTTCAGGATATCCGGATCTGGATTCGGCAGATCCGTAAAATTACTATCCGGATCCGGATTGGGGCCATCCGGATATCCGGGGTCCGGATATCCGGACTAAAATTCGGATACCCGCGGATATCCGGACTAAAATTCGGATACCCGCAGATATCCGGATCCGGTTTATTTAAAAAAAAAAATTCAAAATTCAGTATTTATTTATTTTATTTAAAATTAGTATTTTCAAAAGAAATTAAATTAAAATAATAGAGTTTATTAACAAAATTAAATATTATTTATATTTAATAAAAATTATATAATATACCTTTATAAATATAATTATATTTTAAATATTTTTTAAATATTTAGTGGGCCCGGATCCGGATCCGGATATCCGGACTGGAATTTTCACTATTCGGATTCGCCGAATCCGTAAAATCACTATCCAGATCCGGATCCGGACCCCCCGGATATCCGTTTTTTCGGAGCGGATCGGATCGGATCTCGGATCGGATAGCGGATCCCGGATATAAGTCCCAGCCCTACCGCAACCTCACCATTTTGGGCTCCCGTTGGCATTAGAAAAATGGATCAACTTTTTATAAGTGAGCCAAAAAAAACTTTGTATAAATATTTTCACAAAAATAAACGCGGAATAATTTTTGGTCTGTTACACCAAATCTGAAACCGGCCTGGTCACCACTAGTAAACCTTTTTGCGTGGTTGTTTATTGGTGGGAATGTAGGGGTATTAGTGTCATTTTGAATATGCCACTTGCTCCTTACTTTGGTCTGAGAAAAAACAATTCCAATTTGACGGAGGAGGAAAGGCGCAGCCTTTTTTCTTTCTCCGCAAACTCACCATTTTCGTCACGGTTCCTCTTCTCAGCTAAGCTATGAACCATCTTGTCTTCACCAAACAGATAACAACTATCCTTTTTGGTGTTCCAACTCTTCACGCTTCCTAGCATACAGAGAGGAGCCGTCTTATTATCTCTCTTCCTACTTTGGCTCTTCCCACACGTTTCATAACTTTAATTTCTTGGTGGCTCTGTTTTTCCTCTAGGGTATCAAATTCTTATGGCACTTGAATTATCGGTGCTGGGTCGGTCTCTCATTGGCCCAAAAGCTTCAACTTTGCAGAAATATACTCAAAGGTCGAAGCTTTCAGGAAGACTTCACTCTCCTGTGGTGTTGAATCCTTGTAAAAACTGCAACTTGAGTTTTACATTCCGACCAAATTGTGAATTTAGCTACAAAAGAAGTAGTAGTAGCTTTATGCTGTTTAGCTCGAGTCAGTATCACGAGGGTAGTCAACGAAATTCTGATTCCGGGGAAAAGGAGCTGGATTTAGTTAAGGTTATGCTGAAACGTGGGATTGTTGTGGGAGCTGTGGTGTGTGGAGTATTATTGTATGGATGCCGTAAGGTGTTGGCATCAGCAGGGTATGAGGTGTTTGGTCAGAGCCTGGTGTTGTTCAAGAATGCTTTGCCCAAGATTTACCAGGTTCTTAGGGTTCTTAGAGAGCAAGGTTTAATATTGGCTGCACTGCTTAGTCTCTCAGCGTTCTTCTCTATGGCAGAGACGTCCATTACCACTTTGTGGCCGTGGAAGGTAAAAATCATAAGCCTCAGAGTTCGTATTGTGAGCTCCTTTTGTGTGATATAGTAATGGTAATGATGAAAACATGTACCATGCCGTTGAGCTGTTTTGAATCTTTACAATCTTTATATTCTATTTATTGGCAAGATCATGTTGTTTAAGTAAAGGAAACGTGAAACTTCCATGGATTTTGAATTTAATATTCTTTAAAGGAAGATACAACTGTGAGATGCTGTCATCCAGTGTTTTCTCAGAGTGCATTGTGTCACTTCCTGTCTCCTGCCTGGTCTCTAGTTTGTTCTGAAATATTGCTGTTTGATTTGCGGTTCATCTTAGGTGCGTGAGTTAGCTGAGAAAGAACCAGAGAATGGTGTATTCAGAATGCTTCGAAGTGATGTTACCAGATTCTTAACGACTATACTTATTGGAACAACGTACTGCTTCTTTCCTAGATGCAATTTTTCTTTAGAAGATTGCTGGAAATTTTATCACTTACCTTAGGTCTTGTGGTTATTTTTAGTGTTGTGAACATTGCGGCAACTGCACTGGTCACGGAAGCAGCAACAGCTATATTTGGAGAAGCTGGTGTTAGTGCAGCCACTGGATTAATGACAGTAAGTATAACTGTTTCAATACTTTGTCATATCTGATAATTTTTTTAATCCCTTAGTTTGGTTTAGCAACATCGCTTCCTAAGTTGTTAATCTTGAATGACTATATAGGTGGCTATATTACTTTTGACTGAGATTACTCCAAAAAGTGTTGCTGTTCACAATGCTCAAGAAGTTGCAAGGCTTGTGGTAAGTTTGAATCAATTGGTATTGGTTAACTTTAACAAACTTATGTGCATACCTATTGTATTTGCTCCCTTTGATAGGAAATAGCTTATGTGTTCATATATCTTATTCAAGGAATACGTGACTTAAGTTGTCTGACTGTGCATCTAGGTCAGACCAGTGGCGTGGCTTTCCTTAATATTATATCCTGTCGGAAGAATTGTCACATATCTCTCAATGGGAATACTGAAAATTCTTGGTTTAAAAGGACGGAGGTATGCATCAGCCTAGACGTTTTTTAGTATCTCTTATAGTTTCCAACATGTTAATAAAAAAGTATATTTGATTCTGTTTTGCTGCATTGTTATAATCGTTTTTGTTTGTGTGTCAGCGAACCGTTTGTTACTGAAGATGAGTTGAAACTGATGTTACGGGGTGCAGAATTAAGTGGCGCCATTGAAGAAGAGGAGCAGGTATGAGCTCTCTTGTAATCTCTTAGATTTTCCTTTCAAAAATCTACACCATACCTACATTGATTATAATGACTGCTCTGCAGGATATGATTGAAAATGTGCTGGAGATAAAAGATACTCATGTTCGAGAGGTGATGACTCCTCTTGTTGATGTATTTGCAATAGACGCCAGTGGCAGTCTAGTTGATTTCAATAGCATGTGGGTGACTCATCAGTACTCGAGGTAACACAAAATTTTCCAAAGCCTTCATTTTGTGATCTCTTTGCCTTCCTGGGGGATTATTGAACAAGCTCCAAAATTTTTCTTCTCAGGGTGCCTGTTTTTGAGCAGCGTATAGATAATATTGTGGGAATAGCTTATGCTATGGATCTTCTAGATTATGTTCAGAAGGGTGATCTGCTAGAAAGTACATCTGTGGGTGACATGGCACATAAGCCTGCCTACTTTGTCCCCGGTAATCATCTATGTTATGTATCTAGGCATTTGATTACTTCACTGGGAAGAAGATCTTATGGTAGATGATAAATTATGCAGATTCTATGTCAGTTTGGAATCTTCTTAGAGAATTTCGCATAAGAAAGGTTCATATGGCAGTTGTCCTTAACGAATATGGTGGAACCATTGGGGTATGTGCTACTCTCTTTCTAATGCTTCTCGTCTTCCTCTTCCACAATTTGCTAATCTCTCTCGTATGTACTTTGTTTCTGCAGATAGTAACTCTTGAAGATGTGGTTGAAGAGATTGTTGGTGAAATATTTGATGAAAACGATTCAAAAGTAAGTGTCCTAGTTTCATCTCTTTTAGAAAATTATTCTTGACCTACTGCTATGATAAATACATATTTTGCATAACTTAGGTCTATTTCCATTACTTTATATCTGGTCTCCATGGTTTTGGCTCAATAGGAGGAGATTCAGAAGAAAACAGGGTATATTGTGATGAGAGACGAAGGGGTATACGATGTTGATGCTAATACATCTATTGACCAGTTGTCAGAAGAGCTGAACATGAAGATGCCAGAGGTAATGTAACTTTTAGCAGTGGCTTTGCTACTACCTCTTTAGTGCATCCTCAAGAGCATTCCTCAAGGCTACTTATAAACTTTGAAAAGTATTATAGACCCTCAATGTTTGTTTATATTGTGGGAAGCAGGGCATACAGTATGAAACTGTCTCAGGTTTTGTGTGTGAGGCCTTTGGGTACATCCCAAAAACTGGAGAGAGTGTGAAGGTTGTTCTTGAAAAGGAAAACAGGGAAGAGGAAGGTGAAGAAGAGGAAGGTAAACAGGAGAGGCAAGAGCAGAAAGAAAAACACCAAATATATAGAGTAGAGGTACGAAGTGGACTTATAATCACATTTCAAGTTGTTCAGCAAAAGCATTTAACTGATGAAACTCTTTATGGTGTACAGATACTAGCAGGAAATGCAAGAAAAGTGAGTGCTGTTCGGTTTGAAAGAGTCAACGACATGGATCAAGTGTCGGAGGCTAAAGATGTTAGAAGCATGGTTCCTAAGTTCGTAAGGAAATGGAGCAGCGAAGAGGATGATGGTAACTCCACTTACCAAGAGATGTCATGGAGCAGCCAAGAGGATGATGGTAACTCCACTTACCAAGACAACAAACCCGAGAACGCTGTCTCAGATGAACATGTATTGGCTGATAATAGCAAGAAACAACAATGACATTGAGACAACAGTTCATTTTTTTTCTTTCTCTATGCTGCATTTTTCAATTCTTCTTTGAAAAGGAAAGACGAACAACAAGAGACATTAGAGACGTCAAAGCTCTTTAGGAGACAGAAGACCACAACTATGTAAAAATGATCGGTTGTTTCAAATATTATGATTTATCAATTTTCTTCTTTATATCTTTAGCAAACTACTGTTTGAGTTTTTTTATTGAACAATTAAAAAATTTAATAAAATTTTTGTTGGTGCATTTATTTAAAACTTGTATTGTATTTTAATTATGATTGAGTTAAATAAATGGGTTAGGATTAAAATTATTGTAACTAAATTTGTATTTGGTTAAATAAATGGGCTAGAATCCTTAGATTACTGTAACCCAATTATAGTTAACTTAAACCATTTTCACAATATAGTTTAAAAATCATATGTGAAAAGTATGAATCTTAAATTAATTCGCTAATGATCCCTAATTTATCGATAGTGATATATCTTTACTTTATGCAAATCATCTCATCTAATATATTAACGATGAAAATTTTAAATTAGGTTCTTTTAGGTTGTTTTATGTTTTCTAAGTAATTTAACAAAAGATATACAGATTATATCCATCAAAAACAACATTTCAAATATGTTTTTCTGAGCAGACGACAAATATAAAGTTTTATTTTAATATTTCTTAGGTTTAATATTTCGAGAACCTATATAGATGGTGGAAAAAACAGTGTTACAAGAGTCGTTATTGTTCACTTTGTTTGAAGGCCTTGGGAATCTTAAATTTGCTGTCTTGAATAGCAATACTGAAAGGAATCAACAAGAATCAATCAACGTTCCTAAAAGAAAAAATAGAGATAAGTTTCTTCTTAGTGTAGAACAAGATTGATTCTAATTGTAGAACGTTAATCCTCCTCAGGACTTGCTTCAAAGTTTTTAGGGATCTCACTAACTTGATTTGATAGGTCCTTATAATTGAATCTGGATTCCATGCCAACCTTACTGTTTCCATGAAGAGACGATGGTCAATGATATGATTGTAGAACTTGAAAGGTTTAGGTGCCCTCCTTTGTTCAAATGGTAGATGGAAGAGATGTTGGCAGGTCAGACTCCTGTGGTTCCAAATATTCTGTATATTCTTCTGGAAAGCGCTGAGCCCAAGTTTGATTAATACAGGCTTGGTCAATCTTCTTTGATATTGAATTAAACTTAAAGTAAGAAGAAGAAGCTTATCAAAATTATTGGAAAAAAATAATAATCTTTTTATAACTAAAATAATTTTAAAAGTAGAAGTCTTTACAAAAATACGCAAAATTTGTATCCCTATGCAATGTTGACTTTATAAAACTTTACAAAACCGATGACAAAATTTAACACATAAACAAATTAATAATAATGAATTTGGATCACCTAAAAAACTTGTTACAAAGCCCACACTATTATACTAATGACATATTTATCCGGAAACATAAAACTTACGCAAATAATAAGGGGATGTGGTCTAATAACCAAATTACCATTATATATAACTTCCTTTGTAAAAGTAGTGACAAAATAAGTAACATTCCAAAGTAATATAAGGATAATAGTTGGTAGTGATCCTCTTTTAATAGAATAAATGTAGTATTTATGTTTTTGGTTTTGAATAATCAAAACCTTTTGGTGAAAAATCAACCGTTGAAATGCAAATTTCACCGTTGAATCTTAATCAACTAAATCACGAAGCTTCCCATAAAATATTAACAACATCATGTACTTTTTAAGCTTCAAAACTGCTCTAAAAAAGCCACATGATAGTAACTTTCTTCTCTCTTTTCTTGTGTTTTTATTGTGCATTGTTGTGTTATAAATTTTATTTTCTACTAATTTTGTATATAAAAAAAGTAATCAATATAAGTTAATGTGGGATTAGACTTACTCATTTGTTTCTCTATTTGGATCATTTGTTTTGTTGATTTTTTTCAAGCAATAATATCAGTTCAGCTACATGATTCAACTTTAAAAATTGATAACACATTGAAAGGACTAATGTTGGATAAAAGCAACATCAATTATGTGTCGTGTCAACTATATTTTTTCATAGTTAGCCAATGTACTAAGAAGAAAATTTGCATTGGATTAGATATGTTTTGGTCATATATCATCATAGCTTAGAATGAATCATAAAATGAGCTATATATCTAGAGAGACTTCGTCTCATCAACTGATTAGGTATTCATTTATGTCTCATCAACTGATTAGGTATTGATTTATGATTAAACTTATATATTCACATCTTTGATTCACATATATATATATATACATATACATGTAAATGTTTGATAACTTACAAAAACAAACATGATTTGACACTTGATTGGTTGAGATTATAGGTTTATGTTTATGTTTTTGCTTTTAACATTTAGAGGATTTATTCTAAAATTAGAATTGGTTTGTGCTAAAATGATAAATTATTCTATTGTTTATTTTTAAAAGTTATTGAATTTGAGGCCTCTAATGATTGTAGAGCATTTTGATGAACATTTTTTGTTAAAAACATAGTCCAAATCTCACAAAAATCTAGATGGGATTTTGAAGTGTTCTAAGTAAAATCATAATGACCTTTTTAATTGACTCAAAATCATCTAAAAGCTCATAAAAATCAAATTATCTCAAATACATAATTCAATACACTGGACTCTGCCATTGTTCTCGAGTTTTGTTGTAATATTCTTTTTTAAAATCAAAACAATTACAATAATATGAAGCATCAAACTGTAGAGTAGAGGTATGAAGTGGTTCATAATCACATTTCCAGTGGTTGAGCAAAAGCATCATCGTTGATTTTAACTGATAATAAAAGTCTTCACGGTGTAGACGGCATGTCGCGAGTTTGATTAGAGCCAGACGGCATGTCGCGAGTCAACGGAGGAGACGGTGAATGATATTCCTGGAGGTCCGGTGTGGAACGACGATATTTCGATTTGCAGTTACGTTTCCCCATTGAAATCAATCGAGAGCTCCGATGTCGAAGACGATCTGAGAGTGAGCCGAGATTGCACAGGGAAAGGATGAGAGACGCGAATCGAAGATGAGAGAGATGAAGAGCGGAGGATTCCGATGAGAATCCGGTGAGAAATGACGGTTACGGAACGGCGGGGAAGTTAGTTAGAGAACGAGCTCATAGCTCTGATACCATATTAGTAAAATAAACTCATTCTCTTTAACTCAACTGCTCTGATACCATATTAGTAAAATAAACTCATTCTCTTTAACTCAACTGAATGTACAATACATAGTATTTATACTCTATACAGACTCGTGTACTCTATACAACTCGTGTATCCTATACAAATTGACATACACGTATACAACTCATTTACAATATTAAGTATAGGATAATAAGATACCAGCAGGGAATGCAAGAAAAGTTTTCACATAAATTGTACTTTTCAACGTATATTCAAGCACACATGTGAAACAGAAACGGCTTGCGTTTTCCAGGAGAGGTGCACAAAACTTTGAAGACAGAGCTCATGTGGTCAGAGCCATTATAACTTTTCTATATGAAAGTATTCACACGTCAATCGCTTCTACAAACAACTCTCCTACAACAAAATCTTAGGAACCACATATGTTTCATCAAACATAATCTATACATGAGTTAAATACCAGCGTTCTGGGAAGTCTGACTCTGCTGAGCTCCACGCTTTCTCAGCTTTGTCAAGAAGTAAGCCAATGCAACTTTTGCACCTAAGGCAGAGTGACCACGAGACAGACAAACTGCACTACCAACTGCACCGCCCACAAGCAACACACCCTTTGCTATCTGTTTCTTTGAAGGCTTTCTCAACAGTTTATTCCTTTTAGCCCCTTCACCTGTGTGCATAGTTCCCGAGGCGTTTGTGTTGTCATCTGTCTGATTCTCTAACTCTGCTGGAACCTGTGGGATAACACAAGGTCAACGAATCAGTTTCACAACACTAATTTGAAATTATACAGACAAGGCACAAGCTTCCACCATCTCACCTTTTTCATTAAGCTGACAGCAGATACAGTAGGGCCTTGGGGTCTATGACTGGTTGCAATATACTTACGAAGCGCACTTTCCATCTTACAAACGTAACTCCATATGCCTCTTGAGAAAGCAAGCTTTGCCATCTCAACGTTTAATCCAGCATCTTCCTGGTGAAACATGTGGATCTCACAAGCATCCCTACCAGGAACTGCATCAAGCTTAAGTGCTTAAGTTTAGCATTTATGCATAGAAGGTGCTAAAGAAAAAAAAAAACACTATCCCCCACTATTAGTTATCTATCATTAGAATAAATTTGGTATATGGTATTGATGCAACATCAAGAGAAGTTTTAGACAAGAAACTATTACCTTTCCTGATTCGCCAGCCAGATCTGAAATAACTTACACGTACATACTTCCTCTGCCGCGGCACCATATTGTGATCACATTCCTGATAATTACCAAAGAGCAAATATAATAAGTTAAGAGGAGAGGTCAATAACAGATAGTATATAATATAGACTGTGTTATATCATATGCATATGTTACCTTGATGAAACAAAAAAACTTATCTTTCCCCTCCCACAATCTCCAAGCTAAGACATACTCCCTTGGTGTCAACAAAGGAAACTTCTTTATCGTACGACCAATCTCGATTCCGCTACTACTATCAACCTGCAACTGCTCGTGCTCAACCACAGTTTTATCCCATTGTTTCCTGTATTCATTGTCCATGTAAAAATCCCTCAAAACCTCTGGCGAGCAGTTCTCAAATACAGTGGTACTTAAGTACTTCATAGGACCACCATCCTACAAAAACCAGAGAGCATAAACTCAGTTATCTCACTGTCAGAAACAGAGACACTAAAGAATCAAAAAACTTGGTACTACTTGTGGTTTGCAGCATTTGGCAGTGTATGACACACGAGGGTTGCTTTTCTGAATAACATCTTCCCAAATCTCAGCATCCTCATTTCTCTCCCCAAGTTTTTCAATCAGGTCTTTGAGATCTTCATCAGAAACAAGTGTAGAGATTCTGCAAAGCGAAGAGTCTATAAATGATGAATCTCAAAATCATCAAAGAGTACAAGACTAAGCTCATCAAGCAAGTATATATAAACCAAACAGTAAAAAAAAGGACTCCATCATCTATTGATTTATGCAGCAAACAAATCTAAAGTTTGTAGCTTTTGAATACTTTAACATGAAACTGCAAAACCCTTTTTACCTTGATTGAGAGCTCAGAGATTGAGAAGCTGATACCGCAAGAGAAGAAGAAGAAGAAGCATGACGAAAGAATCGAACTTTCCGGAGAATTTGGCAGAGGAGAATGAAGACAAGTGCACATACGGTGGCACAGCAATAGCAAACGACTCCATCTTCACGCCGGAAAAAGACCTCGGAAGAGGAGAAGTTTAGAGCTAACTTTGATAAGATGTCGGAGCCACTATTCATCGTACCCCGTGTTCCTCTAAATGCATTCACTGAGTTTTTGTTGGTATATTTGCGGGTGGACTCGTTTGGTTTAGGTTGGAGAGTGACAAAAGGCAGCAACGAATCATTACAATGGTTCGGGTTTTATCTTTTGACCTGTCCGGACTTGGGAACTTCTTTCTTTCTGGTCCTTTCATTATTTCTTTTTGTTACAGTTTACCCCTTTTTGTTATTATAATTTATTTGGCCCCTCTTTATCAGAATCTTATACAAGTAATGATTCCACAACCACTAGTCTAACTTGTTTAATTAGAGGACTGATACCTTATAGTTCTATTTGCATCACTTTTAGCATGGTTAGTGAGGATAGAATTCATATAGACTTGATTGACTCTAAAAATCAAAAAGTTTATAAAATTTAAAAAGAGTTATAACGAGTTTTCCATATTTCAAAAATTTATTAAAATATTTTAATACAATGATTTAAGGAATCCAGAGTATATATGCAAAATTTGTGAAATTTTATATTATGAGTTAAATTGTCTAAAATCTTAGTTTTAGTAATACTAGAATTGATGAAAGCATAGAATCATTGAAAACCAAACTATTTGAAGAACAATAAACTTTATAAATCACTAAAAAAATCATAAAACCAATAACATTAAAATTTATTAGAAATTCTAGAATCCATTAACTAATAACAATGTAATTAAAGAATTTTAACAAACATTATAAATTCACACCCTGCTAACACCCCTTAGATAATGTGTTTTAAGGTGTTCTATTCCTGGTAAGTTTTTTTTTTTCTTTTTGGATAATATGTTATTATAACTAATTCATATTTAATGCTTAATTATATAAATTATATATAAAAATAAATCTAATTATTCATTAAGGATAACAAGAATATAATCATTCTAACTTTTTAAATTAACTTTTAAGGAAAGAATTTCGATTGCGAAAAATCACTTTATTATATAGATAAATAGATTAACGTTAATAAATTCTTATTCAAATCACTCCATTGATAAGAAAAATTATGTAGATAACAAAATCTATATTTACAAAAAAAAATCTTTACAATCAATCACAAGTTAAAATATTTAGAAAATTATATATTTCTCAGACATGGATAATATCAAAAACAAGTGATCCATGAGCCAACACTTTGTTTAGTGATTCATAACGTTTTACAAATCTGAATCTGTGCTTGCTTGTTCAAAGGGTCATGAGTCATATGCTTATCAACCACACAATCTAGTGTCTCTTTTTCCTTTTTGATAGTCACAATCTTTCTTTCTTTTATTTATTCTGTAAATAAAATATGGAAAATAATAATGGATAAGGCAATCATTGACTTTTTTGTCTCCTCTCAGACTCACAAAGGATTATGTGGAGAAGGAGAAACCAACAAAGGAACAAAACTTGGAGATGAAGAAAGCTGAGAGAGCTTTTGATTAATGGGTGTAATCTGCATATTTTATTAAACACTGCCTGTAAAATACATATGAAGCAACATTATATTGTGTCTTTCATAACGTTATCTTCTTCTGTCAAACCCTGAGAGGGTAATGAATCAAATTGACTATATAGAGGCTTACTTTACACAAAAACAAGACCTGGTCAGCAAACTGTCATTTGAATACCCTTCTTAGAACAAACAAAAGATCATTATGGAATTTAAATAACATGGTCTTGCTAATTGATTATCTTTATTTTTACTACATAGTTTGATTGGCCAGAAGAGACGCCTATGGTTGTATAGTAGTTGCATATAATGATGCTTTGCTGCCCTCGTCCAAGCGAACAACCTGCGCAAAACTCTTCGACATGTTCTTGATGAAGTCTGTCTGCAATGCAGCAGAAGCAGGTTTATGTTCAGCTTCTCCTCCTGCAGATGGCAAGCTTGGATGTCTTCTTGCATTCCGGTCTTGGCTTATTTTCTCCCGCTCTTCATAAAACTCAAAATCATCCAAGATTGATGTCTCAGCGTCATAGTTCTTGAAAATCTTCAGCATCTCAATGCCTTGTTCCAGTTTCACCTGTAGTTTTTTTTCAGCTGTTGTTTAAAAGAGGTGTCTTAAGGACAAGAAAGCTTGAGAAGTACTTACTTCTTGGGTGTCTCGACTATTAGTGACACGCTTATTGTCGTTGTTTTCCAATATAATGTGGCGGAACTGACTGTTTAAAACATCTTTGATGATATGCCACTTCACTGGGAACTGTCCACTCCATTTGTCTTGTTGCCAGTAATCAACGCTCTGCTCAAAATCCACAGGTCCTATCATCTCCGCTATACCACAGAACTGAGAACTCGCGTTTACCTACAATCACAACCTCGTAAGCAAATCTGCAATAAGGAAGCAAAGTGTGTACACACATCCAGGACTCTTACAGAGAACAGAAGAAACACTGGGCATGATTCTTTCTCGTTCTTGGCCTCACGATAAGCAGCATCAAGCTTTTTGTTGCCATTAGCAGTGCTAGCCCATACATTGTATTTGATGCTCTTGTGGACGTTGTCTTCACTGTAAGACTTGATTATGAATAGCTTAGCGTCATTGTAGTCAGTGACAAAGTCATGATCGTTGCTCTTGGGTTCCTTTAGACTGTCTTTGTTATTTTTATTAGTATCAGCAGACGAATCAAGCTCCTCTGATACCTGAGTCTTGGGCTTTGAAGCCCTTGGTCCTCGCTTTTGCTCGTTGAGGATATCAAAGTTACCAGTATAACCATCACCAAGGGATGGATCACTAACTCTTCCACGCTCTCTAATGTTATCAACACCAATCCAGCCTTGGTTTCCCATATTAGAAATTAGTCTACTTACATAGTTAGATCCCTGGCCACGACCACCACTATGCTTATAAGAGTTTGAACCAGATGCAAAACCGTAAAACGATCTCTGTCTCTGTGACTCCTGACAAATTAAACAACATGATCCACTTTCAACATACAACCATTGATTGATCAAAACTATCCATGTATTAGATAAAGTGAACAAACCATGGGAATGTTCTTGCCATATGATCCAAATGAACCAAGTGGTTGATGAGACAAACCCGATGAAAGAGGAGAAGAATGTCTGTAGGTATCAGCAGGCTTGGACCAATCCGACCATATTCACCCGTCAAAACCTTGCTGCCACTCAGGGAAACCAAGGTTTTGGCTGGTTTCCATTAAACGGTCCAATAGGGTGAGGATGGTAAGAAGGCCTTGGTCCAATGTTATTACCTTGTTGGTCAACACCGACAAGGCTGGTGAGGTCGGGCTGAGTTGGAGAAGATATATATTGAATGCTAGGAGGAACTACCTGCTGGTGGTAATAGGGTGAATACAACTGTCCCTCTGAAGGTAAGGGACTTGCAGCAGGAGAGTATGGTCCATATGGCATTTGAGGGTTGTATCCATATCCTGTTTGGTAGAGTAGAGAAGCGTTCTCATTGAAACCAACCTGATTTTATCAGAGAAAGAATATGAATAGCTTTGAGAGAGCTTTAAGAGAAGAGATCCTCAAAAGAGAAGTTTATAGTACTACACACAGGAGATGTAATGTCCAATGCTTCAACATTGACAAATGAAGAATATTCGTCCCATTCGCCTGTGGGGTTTTCAGAACCTGACTGACTCCCCAACATACAACGGAATCTGCATTAGCTTCTAAACATCCCATAGATGAGTTCAAGAACTTGAGTAGTGATTCATGGGTATAAGAAGGCTTATGCTATTACTCTTTGATTGCCACTAGTGTAATATACTTAAGCAACTGCTAACATATGAAACACCTACACCAATACATACTCCATGACCATGACCTCAGAAATTAGATACAGTGTAATTGGATGTTCTTGATCTAATCAGAGAAGCGAAAAGAAAAGGAGAAGTAGATGAATCAGAAACCAACCTCTGTAGTAGAAGCCTTGTGCTTGAGGAGAGAGGATGCTACTAGGTTAAAAGTCCAGCAAAATCACCTGCTAAACCATAAGGTCCAGAGAGTGGAGCAACTTTTGCTGGTTGAACTACAACTGCAGATTCATGGGAGGACTTGAAAGAGGCTGATGTCTCATTGTTTGCCTGGACAGACTGCACATTAAAAAAGAAGTAGATTCAGACACTTGAAACCCCAAAGATCAACTACCTGCTCCTTCATGATGTCCAGATTAGCAGGTTGCTCCTCTTTTCATTCATAACCGGTAAACATAAGTAAGTCAGTGTAAACATTCATGAACAAGATGAAGATCAAGAAACAAAAGCAGATCCTAGTGAAATTTATTCTGAACTTGAACTAAGAGCATCCGCAAATGCGGATCTTTAGGGGGAATCCTTACGGAAATATTAATTTTATAATCAATGGGTCTCATGAACAGTTACGTATTTTATCTTAAAATTCTTATGTAAGGATTGATCCTTACACTATTCGCGGGCTCTGCTGCCCATGTGGCGTTCCGTGAGTGGTTAGTTTTCTTTTTAAAGAAAAAATCTGAAATATCCTTATATAATCTGAAATACTTTTTTTTTTTTCTCTAAGGATTCCCCCAATGATCCACCATTGCGGATGGTCTAACACAACACAGATAAAAGAAAGAGTCCGTATCCTAGATCTTAGCGAAAGGAGATTGAGTTCTCATAAAAACTTACACTTCCATTAAAACTATCTTCTACTACTACTAACAATGGATTCATGAGACCATTACCAAAAAAACAATCAAAACAGGAAGAAGCTTTTGTAAGTATAAAATTCAAAATCAACGAACCCTTTTAACAAACCACAAAACATGACCTAGCCACCATGTCATGGGATTCAAACGTAAAGAAATCAAGCTTTAGACCAGAATCTGAAACAATTTAGCGTTACCTGAAGTAAAAAGATCTGTGGGGTGTGATTGAGTCGTTGCCATGAATCTGATCGAAAGCAAGAATAAGGATCTGATTCAAACAAACGAAAAAAAACAGAATCTTTATATGTAGTAAGGACAGAGGATCTTTCCATATATGTAATAATACGTAGCAAGAAGCCAATACTACGTAGGTAAGAAAACTCATTACAGTAAATTTCCTAGTTTTTTTTTTTTGGTCAGTTGTTCATGAATGATCATGAAGGAAACAAGTAACAAGTATGTTGATATTAATGATACAATCAAAGTGAAAAGCTTTACCTTATCTTAATGTGTTGTCTGTAAAAGGCAAAGCTTGGACTATGCGAGTGATAACGACATGGGCATGTTCGATGCGGTTTGATTCTGTTCAGTACGGTTTCAATATTCTTTCGAAGTTTTCAAATTTGGTTAAATTTTGGTTTACATTTGTCAAATTCTTTTTTTTTTATTAAATATTAAGTTCGGTTATTTTGGTTTGTTTGGTTGGGTCAGTTTGTTGACAAAAAAAAAAGGTTGGTTCAGTTTGTAAATTTTGGTTAAAATTGGTATAATATAGCAAACGGGTTTAAGGAACCAACCAAACCAAAAACAGAAATTATTTTAACTGTCGAATCAAACAGAACCTCCTAACCAAACTAAACCGAAAACTAAACCTATGCATCACCATCAGAAATGTTACACATTTTTCCCATGAGATGTTCATTATAAATCTCTATAGTTTGTTTAAAAAAACAAGATCGTACAATATACTGTCTAGTACATAAAACTCGTATATGTTGTTTCTACTCTATCATGTATAAACTTCTGTTACAAACACTGTTTATCCTCTTCTTTTGTTTCCTTCGGAAACTACAATGTTCAAAAGAATTGTTGGCTATACGGAGGATGAAGAGGGCTCTTTGGCCGTAGATATTGTATCCGTCAGTTCACGACCACTAGTCTCAAACGGGAAGAGACAAACGCAGATACCTGAGACAAGAATCACAAACTCAAAGAGAAGAACTGCTATTGTCTGATGACATCCATGAACCAATCCAACGGCCACTAGTGGACACAATACTCCTCCTATTCTCCCCACTGAACTCCCCACTCCTACACCGGTGGTTCTCACCGCCGTTGGATATATCTCAGGAGCGTATATGTAAACCACAGTGAAAGCTGCTGAGATGCAGATACGGCTGCCGAAGAGAAGAGCGGTTGTTAAGGTTGGAGACTGATGAGTTAACAGTGGAAGAAGGAAGATGCAACAGGTGAATAGCATTGATGACATGGATGCTTTTCTTCCAAGCCTGTCCACCATTGCTGCTGATATAAGTAGTCCTGGAAACTCTGAGCAAAGCCAAACATGATCAAGAACCAAAACGGTCAGACTTTTTCTTTGTTATGGTTAGTCTCCAAGATCTGTAGTGGGAAGAGATCTAAGTAGTATATAAGATAGATGGCCAATCCACTTTATATATTATTACTTTAGATCCCTTCCAATTACCGATATGAGAGACTTTGTTTCTAATACCTATGACATAAGTATGTTAGAATGTACCTGCAAAACTGGCGATGAAAACGTCTCTGTAGTTAACATCATTTGAAGAATGTGTTAACCCTTTCTCACTTGGATAACAACTGTTTTGGGAAATTTTCAGTTCAGTGGTGAGAAGGACAACACCGTAGTAAGCAAAGGCGTTTCCAAAGAACACAACCCATAGTAGTAAAGTCCGTTTGATTAGCTCTGGAGATAGAAGAACTAGTAAAGGTCCCTTGTTATCAGATTCTAGTACTATCTTGGACACAGGAGGAGGAGATTCTTCTACTTCTCCAGGCTTGAGGAGATGAGTGTTTTCTGTTGGATGGCTTTTAGTCTCTTCCATCTCAGTTTCCATCTCTGAGCCGAGTACACCTTTAGGTAGTTGCGTTCCGTTGGTTCTCGCTATCTTCTCCAATATGGAAAGAGCTTCAGCTTTTCGACCTTGGAGGATTAAGTACCGAGGAGACTCAGGCGTCCATCTATAGAATAAAAGAAGCAATGATGATGGTATAGATGAGAGTGCAAGTAACCATCTCCAACCCAAACTTGGCATGATTAACTGCAAAAAAAAAAAAAAAAAGATTATCATCATGTTGATGTGAAGAGCTAAGTCTTATGAAAGTCATTAAGTGTAAGTACCCAAGCGAGGGAAGCCTCTAAGATGGTTCCAACGGTCCAGAAACCTGAGAAAACAACCATCCAAGTCCCTCGGTTTGGTGCAGGGATGAATTCAAGATACCAGGAGGCGAGAACAGGACCTCCTCCTAATCCGAGTCCAACGAAACAGCGGAGAACGATCAACCACATGTAGTTTGGTGCAAATGCGCTCAAGAAACCAGCTACGAAAGTCACCACTGCAGTTATGATAAAACCTTTCCTGAAGAAGATAAAGCACAAACATCAAACCAAATGAAACCACAATGTGTGTCTTCAGAGATACATTTTGAACATTGACAAGAACATAGGAATCAACTGAAAGAAGCAGTCATAGACTAAACATACAACTTCAGAGATCATTTAGTTTCAAGAGTTGATATGAACAAACCGAGCAAAGTAAAGTAACCTTTTCTTAGACAACTAATCTCCTGATCTAACTAAGGAACCAATGAATATCTTATTCCCTCTGTTTCAATAAGATAAATGTGTTAGATTATAAGTATATTGTTTTTTGTGTTTAACTATTTCTCATAAGTGGTAGTCAATCAAAATTCAATAAACAAAATAAATTTTCCTGAAATCTACTTTGTGCATTGAAAATGTAAAAAATTGATCTTTTTGAAACAATTTTTTTTCTAGTATATGTATCATTTTGAAACATAGGGAGTATGTTCTAAAAATCTGTCTAGGCACGCCGCTTAATCGGCAAATCGATTATAAGCAAACATTTTTCTAGACCAATTTAAACGGTCAGACTAGGCACTAATCCCCTATAGAATGCCTAACTAGCACCTAACCATAACGATTTCTTGAACATTGAACAAATGGCAGATCAAGAAGCTTGAGGCGGTAAAGTTACCTGCGGCCATGTTTATCAGCAACAATGCCCCAAGAGTAAGCTCCAATAAGCATACCAGCAAAAACGACACTAGTTATCAAACTCTCCTCTCGTGAAGAGAGATTCCAAAAGGATTGAACAGCAGGTCCAACGAAAGAGAGGAGCATCATCTCCATAGCTTCTGCAACCATACCCATTCCAGCGTAAGCGAGAACGTAGAGCTGAAACCTCCCAAATCCCATCTCCACAAGTGCTTCATCCACTGTGAAACTACGGTTGTTCCCATCTTCCATCTCAATACCTGTATGATAAAAATGTAAACTTTCGATCTCATTGTCATCAAGGGAGAAGACCCATCAACGGATTTTCTAATGCTAAAATCGAATTTCGGGTTATTACAATGGTCCAACGTAACAGAATAAATCATAAAGTTATGAACTTTGGTAGAGAACGAACCTCAACGACGTTGAGCTTGGGAGATAAATGAAGATCCTATCTTCCAGGAGAATGAAAAAATAAGAGTGGTGAGGGAATTCAAAAAGTCAACGCCATTAATGAACGAAAACGAAGCAAAAGCACATGTGGGAAGTCTTAAATCTGTCTGGTCGTCTTGTCCGAACGCTGAGAGAAGATTTTGACGCGACTTTGAGCCTCCGTTGATAATTCTATTGACCGAATCTTTTATTTGGGCCTTTTTAATAATAAGCCCATATGGATATGGACTTTTTTACAAGGCCCATGCTTTTAAATGATTTGTGATAATTATTTGGATAAGCTGAATAATTGAGGTGATTAGTGGACCCAAACTCGTGAACTATACGAAAGAGAAACATTTGACAAAATTGTCAGTCACCTTTTGTAGTGGCAAATACAAACGTAGAATTGATTTATCAAACCTTTAGTGAATATATACACATTATTCTTTATATATCCAAGAAAAATAAGTATGATGAGATTCGAGTTTTGGGGATAGAGAATGGGCTAAAGTGATTGAATATACCCCACCAACCAATTATTACTTATTAGAAACATGAAAAAATGATATATGTTGCCAAATGAAATTTAAATTATATATAGGGATGGAGACATTCTACCACTTGATGCATGAGGCTCTAACATGTCTATTCTTCACTTCCCACTCCATCTATCTGTTTTTATATTGTTTTAGACAAATCCGAAAACTTGTAATTTTCTATCGGAATATTCGTTTCATTTTCAGACCATCTATGGAGTTATATGCATATATGCAAAAATGATCTGGATTTTTCAAATTCCACGCATATTAATCTCCCATTAAAGTAATTGACATGTAATATATTTTGCTTAGCCGTCCAGCTGATAAAGATGGAGTTTATGCTGTAAATTTTTGAATTGCTGATACACCAAAAACCAAGTCGTTGTTTATTTTAAATATTTAAGTTGAATTTATAAAATTTAGTTTTGTTATTTGCAAGCTTCATGTAAGCTCCTTTGTCTTCCAGGGTTACAAGATACCATTTGGAACTTACAATATTGGATGAATCAAACGTATGCCTCATAATAATTCACTTCATTAAGAAATAAACTAATATAATTTCAAGATAAAAAGCATTTGATGAGCTCATTCTCTATAATGAGCATTAGATTTTTTTTTTTTTAATTATTTGTTATACGGTAAAGACTAGAAGACAAACAAGAGTGGACCAGATGTGTGGTTTAGATATGGTTCCTATCGATCCAACTTAATGGGTGATGCATGCTACTTTGTTTTTCTTTTGGAAATTCACTGATCATTAGTCTTACCACTAAAAGAAATCATTTTAAAATGTTCAATCACAGATCCGTCACTATCATTTTGACCCATTCACACTCTTAACTATTTGTTTCTCTATAAATTGATCCATAAATACATTTTTTTCTTAGAAACCAACAACATAATGTATTCATAACCGATCGTTTATTCAACTAATTAATATAATATTTCGTTCGTGTTAGTAGACAAAGACTCATTAGAATTAACTTATTTTGATCAACCGTTAGTAATATAAAAGTGAAATTAACATTTTTACAAACACACCAGCTTCCTTGTACTACTAGAGAACTTCAATATCCTCCAAAAGAAGTGGCCTTGAATCTTTGAATCAGTTAAAAAAAAAACAATTGCAAAACGTAAGGTACATCTCATCTTCAAATATACGCACATACATAAATGCATTCAATTATTACAATTTACATGAAACCAATAAACGAAAACAGTGATAGTTGTTGGATCAAATACTAAAAAATAACACTAGTTAAAAAAATAATGATTAGGAAGGATGATTAACAAAATAAAACATGGTACGGTATGACGTCACCAAATTAAGAAAAGAAAAAATAAATAAAGGCGTGTGGCAATACGCACAACCACTTGGATCCTACGTGGCGGATAAAGAAACGGTTTCAATTAGTACGTGACCGACACGCGATGAAAAAGCGTTTGGTATAAGAAAGACGGTCGATTGATGTGAGGAGGAGGAGACCAATTAATCAAGAAGTACACTTCCTTCCTTCCCTCGATTGGCTATTCGTTAGCCTCCGTAGCCAAATCTGCAACCTATACCATATTACAATAATACCACACCCATCTCTTCTTTCTTTTGCTTCTGATTCAGATAAACTTCATCAGTAGCTCCTCTTTCAAGACATGTGTTTTCTCTAACTTGTTTTTCGGATTTTAACGAGAGAAAGTTTCAAAATCTTCACCTTCTGATGTCACATTTGGTGATTCTCGAGAGGATCATTTCCTCGAAAGTGTTGAGCTTTTGAAGAAGCAGGAGTTACGAAAAGTACGAAGACTTTATCTATATCCTGTCAGGTCCGTTTCTTATTCCTCTGTTCTTTTACTACACAAAAATTATTTGTGTTCTGTCTCTTTACTCTTACTACTTTCTTCAAACTCCTTCCTGAAACTGTCTCTTTTCTCAGACCTGATCTGCAAATTTTAAAGTTTCATGCTTTGTCGGTGACTCGTTTTTACATTACTTGAATCTGGTTAAATTAACCACATTTAACCGCTGATCCTCTCAATATCTGGAAAAAAAACTGGTTTGTCTCTCTCTCATTCTAGGATGTGTAGGTTTAAAACTCAAAAGCTATGTACTTTCTGTTACTCTTAGTTCTACAGTTTTAGTTCACTATAAACATGTAAACTCTAGTTATGTTTGCTTGGATTTAGTTTCTGTCTCTTTGGCGATTTAGTCAAAGATGGAAACACTGGGATCATGATTCTATATGCCTTGTTCTGGAAGTTAACTTACACAATCTGACATGTATATTGATGTTTTGATCCTCAGCTACTTGAACGCTCCAAGTTTTATGGCGGATCAAGGAATCATGAACAGGCATAGGCTTGTTGTGTCAACTGCACAAGCTTGCTCCTCTTCTCTATCTCCCCCGGTCCATGACTTTCTAAATTTCCAACCAGAAAACCGAAAGTCTCCATTCATAAGATCACATTCACCAGACTCACCTGGTCAGCTATGGCCAAAGGGCACATTCTCACGGTCTTCCACCTTCTGCACAAATCTTTACGTGTCTTCCTCTTCTAGCTCTGATGCTCAGAAACATCTAGGGAACACTCTTCCTTTCCTCCCTGATCCCTCAACTAATAGCCAGCCTGCTTCTGCTGTGGAGTTTGCAAGATCTCCATCTATCTTCAGTGAGGATTTGAGCAATCCATTTGATGGAGAAAACTCCGGGTCGCTTGTCAAAGACTTTTTTAATCTCTCTGGAGATGCTTGTTCTGATGGAAGAGGCTTTCATGATCTTGACTGTTCTAATGACAGCTATTGCTTGTCGGATCAAATGGAGTTGCAGTTCTTGTCTGATGAACTTGAGCTGGCTATTACAGACCGGTCTGAAACTCCCAGGCTTGATGTAAGTTCACTTCAGTCTCTTATGAGTTTGCTTATAAACATTCGGCCTTGTTGTTGATACACTTAGCCTTTGGTGGAATCAGGAGATCTATGAAACGCCATTGGCTTCATCAACTCCAGTAACCGGACTGAGTCAAAGCCAAAGAAGCCTCTCTGGAGCTGTGACCATTGAGACAGTTACATCTCACCCTTCTCCAGGATCAGCAGCAGCAACAGGCAATCACAAGCCAAGAATGAGATGGACCCCTGAGCTCCACGAGAGTTTTCTAAAGTCAGTGGACAAGCTTGAAGGGCCTGAAAGTGAGTTTTAGACTTTTAAACACTCAAAAGATATTCTCTTGCTTGCTATTGGTTAGCTATCTTTTGTTTTCTTACCAACCCTGTGTTGCTTCCAAAAATGTAGAGGCTACCCCCAAGGCTGTTCTGAAGCTCATGAATGTTGAAGGTTTGACCATCTATCATGTAAAAAGCCACTTACAGGTACAAAATCAATTTGAGCCTGACCAAGTTTTAATTAAGTACATGATACTAAATTAGCTGAGTATATATGCAAAATCATGAACTTGCAGAAGTATAGACTAGCCAAGCATATTCCAGAGAAAAAAGAAGGTAAAGCTTCCAACTTGTTACTGTGATTACTTACACAGATTCTCTGTTCCATCATAACTACTGACCTTTTATTTATTTATTTTGTAGAGAAAAAGAATGATAACTCAGAAGAAAAAAGACTGGCTGTGAGAAATAGTGAAGCTGATGAGAGGAAGAAAGGGTAAGGCATTGTGTTTCTTGCACTGGCTCTAACATTGTCACGTGTAGTGATTCTCTTCTTCCATGGACAGTGCAATACAGTTAACTGAAGCTCTGCGTATGCAGATGGAAGTTCAAAAACAATTGCATGAACAACTTAAGGTAATACCAGTTACACTTTACTTCAACACAAGAAAGAATCAAGATTTGTTACAATAACCAATACTGATCAAACGTGCAGGTGCAAAGGGTGCTTCAGCTACGAATAGAAGAGCATGCTAAGTACTTGGAAAAGATGTTGGAAGAGCAACGCCAAACCGGAATGCTAATGTCTTCTTCTTCTCCTCAGACACTATTGTCAGATTGTCAAAACATGTCCAAAACCGAAGTATCTTCACTGCCTCAGCCAAAGAACATAGCTTCTGAAACCGAAGAAGCTACATGTGAATCCCCTCAGAAACGTCGCAGGCTAGAGAACAACACTGAATCTATAGATCCTGAGAGATAGCAGGTGGTGGTCACCACTCAAAGTAGATGTTTGTAATGTAATGTAATGTAGATCTTTGTCCGGACACGTGTAAACTTTATTAAGTGTTCCTTTCCATTTGCTTTGCTAAATTCAAGTTGTTTAATTTACTCGTTAATGACAAACATTATACACTTGAGTACTGATTATTTTAGGTTAATGAGAAAGACAGAGAGGTTACTATAAATAGACTAGACCTTCCTTAATTACAATTATCTACAGAGACAAAACAAGTCCTAAAGCTTTCACTCTCTCAACAAAACAAGGGTTTTGTCTCTCTTCCGGGTCTTGCTATCTGACTCGACGATTAGACTCGCTTTGACTCAGCCTCTCTCAGGTAACCCTCCTCATTGCGGTAGATAAACAATGAGTCTGTACAAAAAAGTTGTTTGCTTTTCATCTTCTCTATCACTAAAGATGAAAACTTTAGCATTATGCATGATTTTTAAACCTTAAAGTTTCGCTCTTTCTTCTCTCCATGAGCATGCAAGAAATCTCAATCGTTTTTAAATCAAATTCCGGATTCAAAGTTTTGATTTTGATGCATGTTCCTGTTTGTGACTTGTTTGTGACTTGTGAGAATGTAAATGCTTTTAAAGTCTAATTCACTCTCTCTGAATGTTTATGATTTAGTTTAGAAGAATCTTTGAAATGGATGATACTTCTTCCATGGATATTCATGAGCATGGAGTTTGGGCAAACAAGAAGAGAAGACGGGTTCAATGCAAACACTGTGGCAAAGAGATGTCTGGCCTGCCACGTCTCAAATGGCACTTGGCTGGTGTAGGTCCAAAGGTGACTCCCTGTGAGCAAGTTACATCTACCGTTAGAGAGTCGTTTCGAAATGTTGTTACCATGGAGAAAGCTAATGCTCATAAGCGTGTAAGAAGAAGCCAAGATTCATCACCCAGAGAAAGTCTTTCTTCTACTATAGATGTGGATGCTAACAAACCGGTTTCGTTGCCAAACAAATCCAGAGAGTGGATTGGTCAGTGCTCTTCTTATGCAAACTGTTTCGACTTTTCAGCTGTGGAGTCCTCAGGGTTTAAAGAGATGGTGATGATGATGATGAATGGAAATGATGGTGGCACTATCCCTGATTCTCATGATTTGAAAGGATGGATGTTTCAAGAAGCGTTGGGAGAAGTGGAAGAGTATGTGAAGAAGATTAAAGAGTCTTGGGCGGTCACTGGTTGTAGCATCTTGTTGGAAGCTTGGGCTGACAGTAAAGGGCGTGATTTGGTTACATTCGTTGCAGACTGTCCAGCTGGTCCGGTGTATCTGACATCTTTGGATGTCTCTGACATAAAAGATGATAGCAAGGCTTTGATATCTTTGGTGGATGGGCTTGTTGATGAAGTGGGAGTGCGTAACGTGGTTCAGATTGTTGCAAGTTCAGCTTCTGGTTGGGTTGGTGAGTTAGGAAAGTCTTATGCTGGTAACAAGAAGGGAGTGTTCTGGTCTGTGAGTGTATCTCACTGTTTTGAGCTTATGCTGTTGAAGATTGGGGACATAGATTCACTTGGATACATAGTTGATGCTGTCAACGTGATTACAGATTTCATCAACAGCCATCCATTGGTTTTGAGGCTTGTCAGAGATCAAGATCACAGTCTCCCAGTAGACATGGCTGCCTCCTCCGAGTTTGAGTTTTTCTTGCCCTACTTAACTCTAGAGATTATTTTCAAGGCCAAGAACGACTTGGCAGCCATGTTTGCTCTATCTGATTGCAACAACGAAGAGGATATAAGAGTATCTAAGTTGGTGAATGAGACAACTTTTTGGGAGACTGTTGACAAAGTTCTGAAATGCACATCTCCTCTGATTCACGGTCTACTCTGGTTCTCTAAGACCAAGAACCAGCATGTTGGGAACATCTATGAAACTATGGATGTCATAAAGGAGAGTATCGCTAGGGAGTTCAATAACAAGGAATCATGTTATGAGGAGTTGTGGGGTGTGATTGATGATGTTTGGAACAATCACCTTCACAGTCCTCTTCATGCTGCTGGTTACTTCCTGAACCCGGCTACTTTCTACTCGAATGGTTTCCATCTTGATTCAGAAGTCGCTGCTGGTCTTTCCTCCTCTCTGGTTCATGTAGTAAAAGAAAGTGAGATTCAAGTTAAAATTGCTACTCAGCTTGACATATACAGGGTTGGTGAAGATTGCTTTAATGAGGCCAGTCAAGCTGATCAGATCACTGGAATCAGTCCAGGTGTGTGAACCTATGGACTTTTCATATATCGTTTTGTACTGTTTTGTAGACACTTGTGTTGTTGAAATCAATCAGTGAGCAAAGAGTTTTGTCATCTTCTTTTTTGAATCTCTCTTTGCAGCTGAATGGTGGGCTCAGAAGGCGGGCCAGCACCCAGAACTGCAGAGTTTCGCCATTAAGGTTCTGAGCCAGACATGTGAAGGTGCTTCAAGGTACAAGCTAAAGAGTAGATTAGCAGAGAAGCTTGTGCTCACTGAAGGAATGACCAGTGGTGAGCAAGAGCGTATTGAAGATTTGGCGTTTGTTCATTACAATCTTCATCTCAAAAGCTGCAAAGCCAAACTAAGTGAAGAGCAGTAAAGAGATTATGCTGCACAATATTTATATATATTAGGCACATTCAACTTCTTTTTGTCAATGTGCAGATAACAGTTATGTAGTTTGTATGTTGATGAAATCCATCTTTTGAATCTACGCTAGTGAATGAATCAGCAGATATGTGCACTATTGATATCCATAACGCAGCACAATGATAATCTTTAGTCTTTTATGTCTTCTCATTGAATTGAACCTGGCATGGCAAGAGCTACACCAAACCAGAACATTGCCACGTGCATTAGAAGCGTTAAGAGTTTGGGAAATAACTTGGATGTGGTTGCGCAGGATAAACGGCTTCTCGGTGTTATCTACTGTGGGTTTAGAGCAACATGGCAACGCCATGGAGCAGAAGCAACTCTCTCAGAAGCTGTTTAAGAATTGCTGAATGAACTTGGCGGTGTTGCTTGCAGAAGTAGATGCTGCAAACATGGAGGTGCTTTGGGGAAATACAAGGAAGCCATCTCTAAGAGTACTGTCAAATAAACTAAGGACACTGTCATTGATCGAAAATGGCTATTGTCCACAATAAAACCTATACACCGAGCTAGTGACTCCATGATCACAAGCCTTAGACAATCTTGGGACTGCAGACACAACGAGTTTTTATTCAAAAGATTTGCGAAATTCAGCTTGCTATAACAAGCTTCATCTACAGAAGCCACACTAAGAGAAGAACACTCAAGAGATTGTGTTAGTAGATGGCTTGAGGTTTTAGTCAATGTGTAGCTTTTTATTTTTGTAGTTTTTGTATATTCACTCACACAAAACAATGATCAAATCCCTTTGTTCTCCTTGAATCTATAAGTGCTTTGTAAAGTTTAAAGATCTGGGAAAATATACACAATAATCCAACAGATTCAAGACAAAATATATCGTATGAACACTAGACAATTATTTCAACACAAACTTGTTCTCTACTCGTTGGTTTTCAAATTCAAATATTAAACAATATAAAAATCTTGAATTATTGTTATAAAATTGTCAACAACAAAACTCAGAAAAGAGTATCAGGCTCCAGTCCACTAACTTCTGACCAGAAAGCGACAGAGAAAAAAAAATACTTAAACATGTATTCTTGCATGTGACAATGCATAAAGATTTTTTTGTGATTTTCTCAAGATTTTTTAAAAGTTTCTTCTCTTCTTTTTAGTTTAATTCACTTTTTCTTTGAAACTATTGAGAAAAAGACATGAAATTGCAAGTGCCCGTGTAAATTGAAAGTTGTGTGTTACAGATTCTCTTCTCTGTTCTGTACTTCTCTTCAACTGTAATCTTTGTCTTGTACACTCTGCCCAATTACCAGCTCATTATTTTAATTCATTATTTGGTAATAATAAGAAAGAATAGACCTATTTTGAGATAGCATTAAATGTTGACTCAGGATAGAGATTCTTTTTTGAATTTCAAATTGAGAAACTTTTTAAGATTGGAAAATAAATACAAGTGTGACACCACCTAGTAGTACACTAAAGCCAGATAGATAGATTACTGTGGAGAGAATCTAGCAGCACTTTCACATAGCTCTTCTTCTCTCTGATTCTTGAATGTTTTCTCTTTCGGCCATTGGAAGAAGTAGACGAAATAAAAGAAGGTTGGCTTTTGTTCCCACTATTTCTTTCTCTTCTCCTTGTTTGAGTTATATTTTTGTTGCAGAAGATTGGTTACACTCTCTGATTAGAAGTTCCAATTTATTTTTCTTTGTTCTAGCCATTGACTTTGGTATATTCTTAAAGTCAATTTGAAAGATTTGTTCTTTCACAGACCACTTTGTATCATGATAAGTCTTTTAGGGATAAAGTCTTTAGCTTAAGTCTTCTCTTTTCATCAAAGTTATATATCTTCTTTATAAGGCTACAGTGCATTAGATTACAACAAGACAATCAAACACTCATTTTTTACAATTCCATCAAATCTTGATTTGCATGTTCAAAGACAGCATCTTTTGGTTACCTTAAGCTGGTTCTTGAGTTATCTCAAACGCATAACCGCTTAACCTGTCAATTGTCAAATCCTTTTCAGTGTGAAGTTTTAACCATGTGATACGTTTGGCTGTCTGGTCGTTTTTTGAAAACAACATGCTCCTGTGCTTATTTTCTGTATTATAAATGAGATTTGTCCTTATTAGATGTTCACAGGTGTAACAGTGTCTTCTCGTGCCTCTTCATCTTGTACTTGGACTACATAAGCTGAGAAAAATCCATTATCAAATCTCCATTATTTGATTAATGTCTTGTGCTTAACAGACAACCGCTTTGAATTTTTTTATTTCCTCTAATAATGTTTATCTTATCTCATTTATTATGTGAATCTGATTTTGTGCAGGGATTATATCATTTAAGTCTTTGTACTTTGAGAGAAGAAGCTGTAAGTACATTTGTTGGAGAAGTTCATCATTTGCTTTTATGGTAGTAACTGCCAAGCTTCAGACCCTCAGGATGTATGACTCTCAACTCTTGAAATCTAAGTAAGGATTACCATTTTTTATTTCTATCTATCTTCAACTTCTGGATATTGTTTTCAATTCTCCTTAACTAAGTTGACTTGAATGTTTTCATAAGATCCAATCCATTATGGGGCAGAGGAACCAAGTCAGAGGTATGAACATACATCAAGTCCAGATATTACATGTTGAGTGAGTTTAGGCAGTCTTTAAACATCAATAAGAGCATGCTTCAATCATTTGTTTACAGGGCATAGAAAGTTGCCAACAGTCTACAAGTGGAGAATCTTTTCCATATAGATATCAACTTGAAGAGGATGTGAGCTTCTGAACTCAAAAAGAATCTCCATTTTTCTCTAAATATTTCCAGTGTTTATAACTCTGAAAGAAGTTTTATGTTACAGGTAAAAAGATTGCAACTTCAACTCCAAGAAGAAGTGGAGTTGCATACTTTTTTAGAGAGCCTCATGGAGAAAGATCCTTGGGAGCTATCTTCTTCTTGTAGTGTTCCACATCATGTATGTTCCCTCAACTCATGCTTTTGTTATTAAAACCACCGTTTTTGGTTTTGCTGATGATTCTGAAAATTGGGCAGGCTCAAGAACTTGTTTCCAATATAGCCACGCTAGAGACTGCAGTCACGAAGCTAGAGCAAGAAATGATGTCACTGAATTTCCAACTTAGTCAAGAACGAAACGAGAGAAGACTAGCTGAATATCATTTGACACATTCTGCTTCTCCACCAGTATGTATCATCATATTGTCTTGTTTTTTATTGTAATCTATATTGGTGTATAACTGTGTCTTAGTTGTGCAGAGTTCTTTTTCTTCTTCCTTGAGATATTTGGATTCTGAACTACATCAATCAGCAGAAGACAGTCCACGTCAAGACCAAGAATCTTCTTCTGAGTCATCTCCGGCAGAATCAACCGTTGAGGTATGAACTTATATTCTTCTTTCCTATCACCCTTAAATGTATCTGACATTTTTCGCTTACTAAACCAGAAAACATTGGACTCAAATAATCAGTTTCTTGAGAAGAAGCCAATGAAAAAGACAAATGCCAGGAAGCTACATAGAGGAATGCCATCTAAGTTCATGTGGGATCATCCTAATCTATTATCTGAAGAGATGGTGAGATGTATGAAGAATATCTTCATGTCTCTTGCTGATGCGACAGCAACTTCAAAAGCATCCTCAAACGAGAGCCAACTCTCACCGGTATCACCACTTGGGCATCTATCAAGCTCATCTTCCTGGTGGCCTTCAACAGAACGGTCAATGATCTCTTCATGGGTGCAAAGCCCTCAAATAGATGTCCAAAACAACACTGATGTCTTGGCCACAGGAAATGTCTTTGACCCTTATAGAGTTCGTGGGAAGTTAAGCTGGGCAGAGATTGGAAACTACGGTTTAGCATCTGAGGTTTCTTGGATGTCTGTTGGGAAGAAACAGTTGGAATATGCTTCTGGGGCATTGAGAAGGTTCAGGTAATGGAGTTACTGTAATGGTTTTGTTAATCTGATTAAACTAAAAGACTCAAAATACATGATCATGGCTGGTTCTGTGAATAGGACACTGGTGGAGCAACTGGCTAAAGTAAACCCAATTCATTTGAGCTGTAATGAGAAGCTAGCTTTCTGGATTAACCTCTACAACGCTTTGATCATGCATGTTAGTTCCTTTTTTCCCTTTTAATTATCAAGAACCACTCTGAATAAAATGAATGTTTATGAGAGTTGTGGTGGTCTTTTACATGCAGGCGTATTTGGCATATGGTGTCCCAAAAAGCGACTTGAAGCTCTTCTCCTTGATGCAAAAGGTTATATATATCACTTGAAACATGCTTTGTTTTGTTCTTTTTTGTCTTATCTTATCCTTTATGTTTGCTCCACAGGCTGCATATACAGTTGGAGGGCACTCATACACTGCAGCGGCAATGGAGTATGTGATACTGAAGATGAAACCTCCCACGCACAGGCCACAAATTGTATATAAGCTTTTATACTCATCTTCATAGTTCTTTTGTTTGCTTTTTTCAGAATCAGTTAACATTTACTCTCGTTTCTAATGTGAAGGCACTGCTTCTTGCCATTAACAAGCTGAAAGTATCAGAAGAACAACGTAAGGCAAGCATTGATACTCATGAACCTCTTCTCTCCTTCGCCCTAAGCTGTGGAATGTACTCTTCCCCTGCGGTAAGTAACTAAGCAACTATCTTTCTCCGTTTTGTTTGGCTTAAACTATGGAATGTGAACTTATGCATCTTGTTGCAGGTGAGAATCTACACAGCCAACGGAGTGAAGGAAGAGCTACTAGAAGCTCAAAGGGATTTCATACAAGCATCGGTAGGGCTGAGCAGCAAAGGGAAGCTCCTTGTACCCAAAATGCTCCAATGTTACGCCAAGAGTTTGGTGGAGGATTCTAATTTAGGGGTCTGGATATCAAAGTACCTCCCTCCACATCAAGCAGCTTTTGTGGAACGTTGCATCTCTCAGAGAAGACAAAGCCTTCTTGCTTCACGTAACTGTGGAATACTCCCATTTGATTCTCGTTTCAGATATCTGTTTCTCCCGGACAACAACAACAACTCCTCTGCGTAAAAAAGCCTTTAAAAGCTTTGTTTCGTCTGTAAAAAGCCAAGAGACATAGAAAGCTGTTTTCATCAACATGATCATATATTATTATTCCCAACTTAGCGTTGGGGCTTATCAGTGTATATTTTATAAATAAAATGTATGAGAAAAGAATGTTGTTGGAAGTGTTATAAGTTTATGTCCACAGTTTTAACGTATCCATCATGTCCAGTGATGTGCACTGTTTGGTTGGTTGTCACAGGTCTCGTAACATTAGTTTATAGCTTTGTCAAAAATGCTACATATACAAAGGGATCAAAACAATGAATTAAGAGAGCAAAAAGACCCAATAATTCAATAGGATTCAAGTTAAAAAGAAGCACCAAAATTTGAATCAAAATCACATATACACATTATTCTGCACCTTAAGAATACATCATGTAAATAATAAAACATCTACTATGTACCTCCTTGTGGAACCTAAATTAGTAGTAGCTGTGAAAGAGTCTTGTTTGCTCTTGGCCTCCTAAACTGGCTTTCCTCCTGATACTTTTCTCCATTTGCATTCTTTCTTCTAAGCATGAGCTCAAAAGGCACCCCTTAATCAGCATGTCTGTCTATGTTGATCAGTCAGAAGTGGAGGTTGCTGCGTCAGCTGCTCTTTGCCGCACCATCTCCTTCACAGCTGCTCTTCGTCTTGAATCTGCTTGTTGTTGCTTTCTACTAAAATGAGCTCTCAACTCTCTGTCAAAATCCCACAAGTGTCGGATCATTAGAAAAATCATCAAATTTTCTTGAAGAAATTCCTTTTTAACTAATATATTCTTCTTCTAGGAACCAATATTCAAGAAATCGCTAGACATAACTAGTCGCTTATCACGTACCTGCATTTGGGTACTCTACACTGTAAATCTCTGCAGTTCCGAGCGTGCATTCGGAAGAGGGCCCACATTCTTTTACAAGGAACGCAGGAGTTTCTGTTCTTACATGCAACACCATGCCTGAAGAGAAGCTTAATCATGCGACACCTTGGATACTGGCACTGTGCGGTGCAGCACGCCATCGCGTGTAGCAGTAGCTCTGTTAACTGCAGCACCAACAACCAAAACTGTATTAGCAAGTGAGGAAAAGAGAGCAAAATTTTAAAAGAAACATTTCATTTCATTACCTGTGCAGTCTGGATTTGCTTAGTTTGTGTGTTCTGTACAACAGAATCAGTACCAGATGGTCGGCTAACGAGGATGTGTGGATGGTTAATGCCCTTTGAGTAGCAACCACTGCAAACTTCATAGTCAGGACAGACATCGCAACGCCAACCTTGAGCAGGTTCAAGCTCTTGCTGGCAGATGGCGCATGCCGTTGGAAATGCAGGGACTGTTGGGTTGTGGAGATGATAGAGAATCATCATGGAAGAGTGTTTTGCTCGCCTCAGTGTGTCGTACTGGTAGTGGTTTCCTTGGCAAAGACTTAGGAAAGCTTGCCTTGTATCAAAGAACTCGCTCTCAAGGATGTCATCACTGTCTTTGATTTCAGTAGGGACGTCTTCAATGGCAATCTGCAGAGACCAAACCCTTGTCATTGTTCCAAACCAGCAAGAAGAAAAACAAATTTTCTTAAATCTCTGTCAACGTTAGAACTTACAGGATATAGCACATGCTTCTCCCTCTGATTGATGGGATGTTTCTCCTTCTCGAGACGGTTCTTTTCCACTTCATGACACCTGTGGTAAAAGAAGAAAGCTCGTGAGATGCAGCCAAAGAGTATGCTATATCTTATAATAATGATACAACGTATATTCTCCACCACTTCAGTGAAGAAAGTCTTTTGACTAGATATTTCTACAGCAGTCTGGAAATTTGAAATTGATCTAGTTATGTACGATACTTACTTGTCACAAATCTGAAAGTTCTTACACTGGTGGCACACCCACCGATGTCCAGATACCATGAGAGTACAACAATGCTTGCAGCAATGTTGCAAATGAACCATGATGAAATCTTCCTTCATTGGGTGGATGATCTCACCCAGCTACACAGAAGAAAGAGCAGTGAAAAGTTAGGTGGCGATCTCTTACCATAACAGAGAAAGAGAGAGACTTACTTTATGCATTAGCAGGAGATCCTTTGAGGCATTAACAGAAAGATCCAGCTGACCTACTGCTTTTAGAGTCCTTTTGGATATGACCTTTTTAGGCATTACTTTTCTATTAGACTTCTTGCCATCTTCCTCTTGGCTCATTTGATCTATAAGATCCTCGGCGGCGCCTGGCCAGTAGTCCCCATCAAAATATGGCAACCTTGCTGCTGTTACCTTGGCTCTACATTCACCAGACTGGACGAAGAAATGATCATAGAAGTTTGTACACTCAACAACCACTTTTTCCTTGGCTGCTTTCCTTAGCATTGCTAAATACCTGAAAAGGAATGAGTTATCAGTATTATGCATCATGGTGAAAAAAAACAAGTATTACAAGAAAATATCATTACATACCATTCCCTTAGTTTATCAGTCTTTGGCGTTTTCTGAATCTCAGGATGACAATACAGAATGTAATCTTCACCCTTGAGAGGAGGGCATGCCCATATATAGCAGCTTGAGAACCCACGTTTCTTACAGTAATCAAGATAACCAATCTGCAAATCCAAAAAGGCCATTGTTGATAAGACTTGTGAAGCAACACAACGGGACTGATATACAAAAGAAAAATAGCTTACCAGAATTTCATGGTATACAAAAGTACGGAGGGCCTCCCCAGACACAGTTCTAACGTCAGGTCTGAAGTACTTAACCGAGTCTAGATATGAAAGGTATACACGCCGTTGATTGGGAGACGCAGAATCTGTTCCAAATTCTTGGACGTACATGCCAAATAAGCAAACTTCAACACCTTCAATCTTTTGAAACAACAGAATGGCCTGAAAGAAGAAAATTACATATTAGTTATGGAAGCTGAGAGTCAACAAGAGGCATCATGTATCCATGTGGTAGAAGAACATCATAATTAGAAGATAAGAACCAAGAAGATGTACCTTAGACTTGTAAGGGAACTCTGGTGAATAGTTATCTTCTTTGAAAATGTCAAGGAACCGTGGCTTTACTTCTAATATTTTGTCGACAGATGCAACAACTCTGATAACAAGTGAATCGGCTCCAGGGACCTGGTATATCAATAAAGAAGGAAACTAGATGTTACCTTCCTATACCTTAGCTATATAAGAAAAGAACATTACAAGACAGTAGTGCACTAAACATCTATGTGGATTGTCTTAGCAGTAGCGGTCTTAAAGAGCTATTTAGGTATCTTTCTGTAAGCCCAACTTGATATTTCTCTCTATAAATCAACATCATATGGTTAAATGTGGCAGGAAACATAAGTATAATATACCTCGTCGTAGCTTTTTCCTTGAAGCCTAGCCCTCTCCTGTCTTTCCTGCTTCAGTTTCTTGAACAACCGCTGTTCTAAATGGTTGCTAAGATTACTGGTTGGCAAACTTTTTGCCCCAAGAATAACACCTTGTGAAACTGGCTTCCTTTCTCCTTGTTCCACCTCTTCTATGTAGCAATTAGGACAAGTGTACTCGGCTTGCCCATGATTCCTACGGCCGTTGAACAAAGCACAGATTTGATGCTGCCATGCTTGACATTTATCACATAGCACCCACTACACAGAATAATTAGATCAGAAAGAGAAAAGAAAAAAGAGAGTAAAGAAGTATAACTTCAAAAATGCTGAAGATGCGTACCGATTCTTCAACCTCCTCATCATTTTTCTTTTTCTCAAATCTAGGCTTCGGTACAGGAGTCCCATCAACAGTAACAGTGTTTGTACGCGTTTCATTGTAGCAAGGAATGCAGACATAATGCCGTGACTCACCAACCACAACAGTATAGTGCATAGCATTTCTCTTGACACGTGCGCCACAAGGTGTGCAATATATAGGTGTTGGCTCAAATGCAAGCCTCTCCACAGCACATAGCTGGCAAGAGTTTTCAGACATGGTGAGTCCCATTGCTTTGTTTTTCTCTGCCTTGGTTTTACTCTGAAATAAAAGAAAGATTCAGACAACAGCATAAAGAAAACATTTATTGGTAAATCTTTCTTATCAGAAGAGTTGCATCTAAGAGTTTGTGTGCTTACCTGGCCTACCCACTGACGAAGACCACGGATATGCTCCTCTACTTGCTCTGGAGTGAACAGCTCAATCAATGAGACTCCCTTGATCTTTGACTTTCCGCTATTAGAGGCAGCTACAACGCCTTCAGACTGTTTTGCTTTCTCTTCTTTGGGTGCGCTTAGTTCTTTCATACGTTTTGGTTTCTCTAGCTCTGGTGAATAAACATTTTGACCATTCAAGGAAGAGTCTCCAGCATGTCTTCCCATTTGGGTATCTTTGCAAACAAGCTTCTCCAGCTCATGGGAAACAGGAACCGTTCTCCTATCTGCATTCATATGCACATCCGATCTGACAGGTTTGCAAGCATCACTTTGTAGATTACTATACTTCTCTTGCAAACTCATTGAATAATGAGGTTTACCGACACCAACAGATTTATGTGTGTCAGGATAAGCAAACTGGGAGTGTTTCTCCACTTTCACACGCTTAGGAGAAGGTTGCAGATCATCAACAAAAGATGGAGCTTCAGAGTCTCTTTCACTAGAAGCACGCATAGACTGAAAGGGTTCCTTGCGTCTATGATCTAAACTACCTAAGCTAGGCTCAGCTCTTTGGAGGAGGGCAATCTTTTCTTTTTGTTTCTCCTTGAAGTTTTTGACATAAACACAGACTGGACATGCTTCATCACCGCAGTGCTTATTATGATGAATCAGTTTTCTGGTCTGAAGACAATACTGATATGCACAAGCAGGGGCCTTGCAGTAACTGATATGCTTCAGTAACGTTTTGGCAGTGAAACAATACTTGCTTTCACAGCTATTCTCAGCTGCACTGCATTTGCGAACATGTAGCAGGAACAATAGCCACCGCCTCTGATTTATATAACTTGAATCACAATCTCCATTCAGCTGTTTACTCAAGGTGTTGCTTCCTTCTGGGAGAAGTGGAGCCTCCAAGGTGGTTCTAAGAGCAACAGTTTGGCAGTTTGCAGAGTCTTTTTCAGATGAACTATCATTAGTAGCTTCACGCAGGATAGGTAACCTTTGAGATGTGTTTACCACAAACTGTTCTCTCTCTCCATAAGAATCTTTTGATGTTTGTGTCATGTTCTGAGAAGATGAACGCCACTGACCCATACTTGATACTGGCTGCACTCCAACTGAGAGGTTATTCAAATCTTTCCATTGTGGTAGCTGCTGTGTCTGATGAGTTTGAGCACCAACATACTCTACCTTGACAGTGTTCTGGTTGTACTGGTTTTGCAGCTTGGATGGATCTACTTGGTTTATAGCCTGCATCTGAAAAGCTTCATTATAATAGTCCGTGCGAGGTTCATGCTTAACTTGACTGACAAAATTTGAAGCTCGCTGAGATTGATTGTAAGCATTGTTGTTCAACAAGTGCTCTTGTTGCTGGTACTGACCATGATCAGCTTTCTGGTTGAACTGATTCTTTACTGGTTGATGACTCAGCTGAGCCAAATTTTCTTTGGAACTGGAAGAAGATTGGAAATTCCCATTCTCAAACTGTTGAGGTAGGTGACGTTTCATCAATGGTGTCCTTTCCACTGCGTGTAGGCTCGACTGATTACTACCAAAGGAAACATCAACTCTCCGCATAGGATTCATACTCATTGAGTTCATATTCACAGCAGTTTCCATTGAACCAGATGATCCATAGAGATTCCCGGTCCCGGACCCAAAGGCATCAGAGTTGCTCATTGAGTATCCTTCAGATGAAAACAAAGAAGCAACTTACAATTAGAGAGAGGGATAGAGCTAAGGAGACTACCAAGAGAGCATTGAAAAATTCAAATAGCATAGGAAAATTAGAGAGATTTACCCTGAACATGTGACGCCTGCTGCAACTGATCCACAGGCTGCTGCAAAGGTTGGGATGAAGTTGAAAAATTTGTGGAACTAATGACCCCTTCAGAGCTCATGTGCCCATTAGGAAGGTGAAAACTGTTCCCGCTCATCCCTACACCAGCATTTTGAGGTATATTGATCATCCCAGACGCATTCTGGTGCATATTTGTCCTGAGACCACCTCCCATCTGGTGATCAAGGTTGTATTGCATACGGTCATTTGAACCAGAAGCATGTTGCCTCTGCAGCTGAGAAGGATTGCCAACAGCCAGAAGATTGCCACCATCTCCATTTTGATGAGACTGATACACATCAGCATTAGCAGTATTGCTAAATCCAGGAGTAGGAATCATCTGGCCATTGTCATTAGAACTAACTGAAAACCCCGAAGATAGTTGCTGGTGATTAATCATTGAACCTGTCAAATACAAAAGAATCAGTAGAAACTTAAAAGTATACAGTAGAGTCTTACATCGGATCTTACTGACATTACCTCCATTCATGTGGGTAGTTGGCATAACCCGTGTTGCATCTGCTAAGTTATTATTATTGTTTAAAGTGCTCGTATCCACCATAGGGGTCGCTGTATAACTTTGACGCCGTCCTTGAGAAACCGCAGGTGTCTGAACCATCATACCGACCGAGCTAGAAGGATTAGCAGGGCGTTGACCAAAAATTTGTTTCAGAATCAAGTTTATGCGAGCCTCAAAATTTTGGAAATCTAAGTAATCCTCCTGCGAAATAGATGAAATTACCATCAAAAACAATGATCACATGTGCAGCGTTAAAGCTTTTATGAGAGATAAACTGTAAAAAATGAAAAAGATCAAAAGTGGATGAACCTTTGAGGTAGCCATTTTGAACATTGCACTTTCTAAGCGTTTTGAAACCTCAAAAAACTTTGCCTTGGAGGCATCATCAGTCTTTGAAGGCTGCCTCTGCTGTAACCAAAGGTAGCTGGAAAGAATAACCCAAGTAAATAAGTGTATTTTCAACAGTGTCGATATTTTCAAAAACTTTTTTCTTTAATTCGGTCTAGGCGTTCAAAAATTCGGTCTAGGCATCCAACTAAACATTAATCTTCTATAACACGTGCCGCCTAGCGAGTTCTTGAACATTGATTTTCAATATACACAAGCTTAACAAAACATAAGATCACTTCAACCAAAAATGGATGTTATTACAGTTTCATTACCAAACAAAACCCTCAAGACTGCGTAATTATACGGGTGTTTCGTCCTCATAGCAAAGCAGATGTTGCACAAAACAGTAAACTACTAATGTATAAATGGTATATGCACTAACCAATAACAACACCAATGTAATATAGAGCAAGCAAGAGCCACGACCAAAACAGCATAGGCAAACAAAAAAAGGACAATTCTTACATTCTGTTCAGCATCTCCTGTCGTAATCTAATACCATCTTGGTTTACGCCATTAGCCATATTAGGCTGAGACGAAACACCAGAAACAGAACTCTGCATTTGTCCTGGCTGAGGAGGAACATTTCTATACTGCCCCTGAGCCATTCTCAAACGCTTTGGAACTAATGAAACACGATCATCACCCAGACAATGAGCTACAGAGCCTGTAATGAAAAAAAAACACATTAACCTCACTGAAATGTAGTAAACAAAACACAATCTCAGTTACACCACTACCTCGTGAATTACGCCTCACAAAAGAAGAAATTTTCTATACTAAAATTATCAATTACAACAAATCGTCACCAACCCTAGCTCGAGATCAATCAAAATCAACAAACGAAAAGGAATTAAAACAAACCCTAAACCTGAAATTCGTTGAGGGGAATCAGCAATTCGCGAGAACAAGACGGAGAAGGAAGGTCGTAGCCGGAAAAAATCGATGCCGAATTAGGAAAAAAACGGCGGAAGGACGACGGAGATGAATGGTCGGTGCGCGTAGGATAATGACGGAGCTATAGCAAGTAGTATACTTTTAGGGCAAAAAAGGTGATATTTTTTACCAAACAAGTGATAAAAATCAATGATTTGTTTTTTAAAAAAAAGAAATCTTTGGAAGCATCAATGGACAGGACAGAACATAACAGCCGGAGTTTTTACCCAATCAGGTTTTTAGATGAACTCATAATTGTTTTTTTTCTCTTTCATCCGATAAGTCAATCAACTAAAGTGAGATAAGCCAAGTGGATATTTAGTTTTACTTACTTATCAAAGGAAATTTGGATAAATATCTTAGTAGTATAAGATTTTATTTAGAAAATTACACATTTGATTGTTTATCATTAATATAGTACCCAAATTTATACTAACTTTAACAGATATATAATTAATTATCTGATATGAATTTATTTAATTTAAAACATAGATATATCAATATCAAAATTTTGGTTAACAGCCAACAACATTGTACTTATGAGAATTAAATTATTAAATATGGTCTGATAAAACAGCAAAACTGAATGTAGTACTAGTTAAAAAAAAATTCTGTGTTTAAACTTTATATTTCTTCCTAAATGTTTGCTTCTTCGGAGTTTTAAATGTGTTCACATAAATATGTAGTTTTTGATAATTGTTTTAAAAAAAAATATTTCGAAAAAAATAATATATTTTAAATTAAAATATGGTGTTATTAGCTAATCCATATATCATATATGTATAATAACAGTTTACACAAGAGGTGTGAATAAATAATGTCTTCAGTTATGAACAATATTGATTCATTTGCATAATCATAGATTTCTGGTAGTGATCAATACTTCCAAGCATCGTGGCTTGGGATGCCAACGTCGGTTAATTGGCTCTCTGAACTTCCTTCTCCATAATTATGTGATTTTTTGCCACTCTTAGTGAGCTGGCTTAGCAAAGCTCTAAGAACCATCTGATCAGAGGAAGGATTAGACAACGGGATGGGATTCTTGGAGACAAAACCGGATTGGTTGGTTTGCAATTGTGACAAATTGGAGAAGCAGGGCACTTGCTGGTGATGATCGAAGTTGATGTAAGAGTCCATCAACGCAGAAGTTGTTTCGTTCGAACAGCTTCTCGTGTTGTTGTCTCTGTCGACTTCATCATTGTTCTTGTGAAAAGCTCTACACAATACCCACTCTTCCTGTTTTGTCCAACAAACCAAAATTGTTTTAAAACCAAAAAAAAAAGGTCAATATTTTTTTCAAAATATGGTTAAGAGAGTAGATATGTGTGCCAAGTCAAAGATCATCTTAGGTAAGCCACGAATAAATTTGTGTAAGATCGTCAGCAAAATCCCTTAAAAGATAGATAACATTCAGGTTGAATGTGAAACAAAGAGAAAGTCAAAACTTTTGCCATAAGTCATGGGATCATATGATTGTGACATCCTCTAGAGGCTTGCTTCATGCTTAATTTGATTTTTACATCTAAGAAACATATACTACGTTCCAAAATGTAACGTATAAGTTCCAAAATGACTATAAATGAACCAGACAAAAGAATATTGGACCTTCATGTTCTTATGATATGGATCTCAAAACAATAACATGAGTAAATAGAGTAATAATTACCTTTAGAGAATTAGGAGGGTGGTGAAGAAATGTTCCATGGAGACGAAACTCATGCATGACCCAATTGGTTTTACGACCTTTAGGAGCACGACCTCTGTAAAATACAAGTGTCTTTCTCATGCCCACAAGACTACCGTTTCTGTGGATTGCTCTATCTTTACCGGTGGCTTTCCAATAACCGGCTGCCGTAGCCCGGTTTGTTCTTTGTCCCGTTGCGTATTTCCGATCTTTTTGGCTGTAAAAATACCATTCTTTACATCCCACTCTCGCCGTTTCTGTTCAAAAACATGACATGTTTTTAAAGTATAGTATTTACTTAGATATTGATATGAAGTTAGGCATTGGAAGTTTTAAAATGTTAATGGCATTGAATGTTCTTTTCTATTGCATTTCACATATATTAATTGATTTCAGTATTTAATAAAGAGGGGAAGTTTTTTTCTAATATTTATTGGCTATTTTATGTTTGGATATAAGGAGAAATGAGAAATAATTTCGGAATTGTCTTTATCTTGATGATGTATTCGATAACATCCAAATGATGTATGTCGATCCGCATCATATCTTAACGAACCAGGTTCCCAATGACCCAAATACCGAATAGCCATTCAACACGTAGGCATGATTAGGATAATTTTGTTTTTATATTATACAATATAGGTATATTTTAAGAGAAAATGCTTAATATCTACGGGTGTAGGACAACCATTAATAATTGTGCAGTTAAATAGTCTTTTCACGAGAAAAAAATAATGTAAAAAGAAAGATAATATTTGCAGGTGGCTCGCAAGTTGAACGTCATTTGTTTTGTTGGATTATCAACATATGATGATCTTGAACCCGAAATATGGAAGAAACACAACCAATAGATCACGTTGGTAACAAGATATATGGATAATGGATTATATGTTTATAACATGCTTAATTACGATCGAGTGGTTAACCTATATAGTTGATGAGTTGAGAGATTTTTGACATAAATCTTCATAATACGCTGGATAATTTAAATGAGTCTAAAAAGTAGAGATAAGAACCAAAAAGAAACTTACGAGGAATGTCCCAAGGCTCGCACTTGTTGAGATCAACTTCGATCAAAACAACTGGTTGATGGAGGCTGCGTACGGTTCTTTTCATTAAGTAGTCGCAGACGAGCTCGTCGTCTCTAGGGTGGAATCTAAACCCAGGAGGCAGGTTAGCCTGAACCATACTTATACTGCTCTTATTCTCTTCTTTAACCTCCATTTCTATTTGATATCTAAAGGTTTGTTTAATTAGTGTTTATAATCATCTGATGATAGGTTAATATATCTGCCTAAGAGGGGAAAGAGAGAGAGATGGAGAGGAATTTGAGCACGAGATAGGAAAGCAGAACGGTGGTATAAATAATTAAGAAACCATAAAGTCAACTTCGACATTTCTTTCTTTCGTTCTTTCTTACATTAAAACAAACAAAAAAACAAAAAAAAAAATCTACAGATTGGAAGCTGAGTTGAGAGAAAAACGTTACATATTGATAAGGTGAAGATTGAGTTTGGTTCTAATAAGTGATGGTATTGATGGATGTGGTGGTCTATATGCTATAACTAGATTACTTTTACTCAACATCAACTTTTAATTCACTATAATTTGAGTATAATGAACTGAATCCACTGAAATTTCAACCACGAAAACAATAAAGCTATCTGGCATCACCAATGAATACATCTAATATTCTTAGGCTACCTAATCAATTTTCATTATACTCTTACGATTACGAACACACAAGAACACTAAGAGAACTCACACAAGAACAATTCAATCAACCCTCACCAGGGTGAAGGAATCTATATTAAAAGTTTAAAACTGAAATACCAAATAAAACTAAATTTGTTTTCAACAGATTTATTACATTTTTTTCCTTATTTTCGGTTATCTTAAACTACTTTATTAATTGATTCATTTCTAAATAACTTAAAAGTATCCCTTATAAAAGTACAAAACATAACTTATCAATTTAAATGTTTTATTATATCTTTTACATTTTTCCACATTATTTCATCAATTGTAGTTACGATAATAATCCGACGTCATTTTATTTTAACTGTTAACCATAATAATTCTACATGATTGAATGAAATTGTTCTATTAGTACAATAATTCAAACAAGTAAACAGAGAATAATTATTTGCTTACATAATCAGTTAAGTATAGGTATTCATGTAAACGTTCGGATACAGATCGATTTTTCAAATATCATGTTTTTGGATATTAAAATTACTATATTGGGATATTAAAATTTTTGGACGTAATTCGATTCAAATTTTCTCGGTCCGAATAGATTCGTAAAAATCTAAAAAAAATCTAAATAACCTATATTATATGTTTAAAATGTTATAATAATTTATAAATATAAATCATGCGCAGACGCGCAAATAAAACTCTAGTTGTCTTTTAAGCCTCAAGTCACAAGAAACACTAACATAACCCGAAATAGATAGACTTTAAACAAGACTAACAATTCCTCATCTTTGCTATGAATCACCGCAAGATTTGATCTAGTATACAATATAATAATATACTATAACTAGTTAGGAGCTGTATGGATGATGAATTGATGGTTTATACTCAAATTTCAAGCAGATACATTGATTCTTGCTGTGTGAAATATAACACGAGCAGTGTAGTTAACAAACGATAATTAAATCTATAACTACTTTGTGGGTGTGACTGTGAACATTGAATACTTTGGGTTTTGTAGGACAGACAATTATTTATGTTGCCACAAAACTAGTAAAAATATTTTGTCTGGACATAAAGTAATTACAAGTCGGACCATTTATAGTTCTACATCTGAAGTTACGTTTCGTTATGAGACTGATGAGTTATCTCTTATTGTCGTTTGTAATAACTTGAAATAAATCTATGGAAGCCATGATCGTACCAAACTCGATTATGAGAGACAAAACCGTAGTTTTGACTTGTTTTTAAAGTATATATATCTCTGAACAAATATTACAGACTCTGACGGTCGTGTACTAATGGTAGTATTTACTATATAGTAGTGAACATAGACAGAGATGGACTGATGAATCATGTAAAATATCTGAAGGACGTGTACTAATCGTGGTACGTCAAATATATTATTCATACGGAGAAAACTCAATAACGCAATCTAATGCATTTGGGCCATTTAACCCGACCCGAATCAAATTTTTTACCTGAAACTATTGGATCCAGTAAATGAAGGCACGTGTATGCCTGCTGAGCTGAGTTGTATATATATATATTGCTTGTCTCTGTCAGTGCCACTTCTCTACAAACCCTAAAAACGCTCACACTCTCTCTCTCTCTCTCTCTCTTTCCATATCGACTTTAAATGACGACGGTTTTGGTTAAAAACGTTGGTACTTCACCGGAGAAGTTATCAACGTCGAGATACTCTTGTAGAAGCTCCAAAACGTCAGTGATGAGCCAAAAATCTCAACCGTTGGATCTTAAGTTAGAAAACGAAGAAGATCCTGTAGACTTTGAGTTTCTTCTCGAAGATCCCGTCACAATGTTAACCGCCGACGAGCTTTTCTCCGACGGAAAACTAGTCCCACTCAAGTTTTCCGGCACGACTATTCCGGCGGAGAAGAAGCCTATAACAACGTCTATCAACACGGCGGCGAAACCATGCCGAAGATTAGATATGGAGATCTCCGGCGTCGATCCTTACACCTTCTCTCCTCGAGCTCCTCGCTGCACCGTGAGGTGGCGTGAGCTCTTAGGCCTCAAGAGACTCACCAAAACGCGAGACGAAACGTCGTCGTTACCAACATCATTATCACGGTTGTCTACTTCTACTCCAAACCCGAAAACGGCATCGTTTCGACACTTTCTCAACCGAAGTTCCAAATCTAAAGACTCATCAGACGTCATCTCATCGTCCATATCCTCTTCACGTCTCTCCCTCTCTTCCTCCTCTTCCTCAGGCCACGAGCTAGACGACGTCGTTCCTAGACTCTCTCTAGACCAAGAGAAACCCAACAACGCTCCAAACCCTTTTGCACCGTCACGTGCCCACCACAACCTTAGGAAGCCACGTCGGCATGATAAAACTACTGAGAGGGCATTGACGGTGACGGCGGATAGTCCGAGACTAAATGCTTCGGGGAAGATCGTGTTTCACGGGCTCGAGAGAAGCTCGAGCAGTCCAGGTAACTTCACCGGCGGACCAAGAATGAAACATCACCATGGGATGCCGAGATCTCACTCTGCTAATGTCAGAATCGCTCCTGTTGTTCTTAATGTTCCTGTCTCTTCCCTCCGTGGTGGTGGTGCTTCGAAACCGGGTCTCTCCTTTGGCCAGCTTTTCACTTCTTCTTCGTCTGGGAGTAACATTACCAAGAACCGTACCAATCGAACTAGACTTGAACCGAGTAGCTAAACCGGATTTTAAATTGTAACTTGTACCGGTTTTATTAGCATAGAGGTTTAGATTTGGGTTCAAAATGTAAATAAAGAGAGATATATATGATTTTTTTTTTTCTGTTGTGGTTCTGCATAGAGCGAGTTGTTCGAAACTGGAGAAAACAAGACAGTCATTAAAATACTGTAACGAGAGTAAGAAGTGCTTCCCATGTTCAGAGATTATATTCAGAAGATATTAAACCACATGTTTTGATGATATAAAAATGTTTTGACTCGTTATCTACGTACCATTGTACTTTATTAGTATCAAACTTTTAAATACTTGTATTTTTATACTTCAGGGGAGCGACAGCTTTTGTTATTTTTATCTTAATCTCCTATTTAAAAAAAAAAGTAATGATTCTGCATGTTTAGAGACAATCCAAAATGCAAATCTTCTCCGTATCGGCTTAGTTCAGCTACTGCACCCGTTTAGTTATTATTTTATAGTCAGTGTCGACTTAGTGTAATAATTTGAGGATGAAGATATGCAGATTTAGCTGTGGTTGGTCATGTGTTGGTCCAGATCAAGACTTGCGACATATTTGAGCCCCAATGCATATATTATTTGTCATACCATGACAAATAGATTGTAATCGACTAGGCATGTAGATTTGTAAGGACGCTTGTCCGCTCAAAATGCAACTTCAAGACATAACTGTTCATTAATAATTGAACGTTTGTTTATAACCAAGAATGGTCAAAGCGTGAAGAAAGATGTCAGTAGCTGCAATTTGTTCGAGTAAATAAAGCCTGTTTCCAATTATTTTTTGTCTGTATTATATATATGCATCACAAATAAAAGCTGTTCGTCATTCTCGAACATGGTGTTTTCATTCCCATCCGTTAGATATTTCTTTCTTCTCCACCTCTCAGTTTAGTGACTAACTGACAATACATGTCACAAAAGAAAAGATAGGGAAGGCTACAACACTCGTATCATTGTTCCGTTACAAAAATACCACTCTAGTATTTGAATGGCAAGTAAAAGGAGTATAAATTTTGCGACAAATATTATTGCTATTAGCTGGTGATATAACTACAATGTCATAATAAATCCATCGTTGTTAGCTCAGTTATAGAAACGTCTTAATTTTCATTAGAAAAACCAGTGTTCACAACAATCAAACTTCCCACCATTGCAAACGAAACAAATATATGAAAAATGAGGCATAACTAATTGCAAATGGTTTCTTACATTTTTTTTTTAAATAGAGTATTGAGTTAAGAACAAGACTTGGAGTTTTGGATTAATGCTAATTTTGAAAAATATACAATCAGAATAACTTAATTATAAAACTTATTAGTAATGATATATGAACGTGATTTTTGTTCACAAAATAATATAAAAAATTCATAGTATAGCATGTCGTTTGATCAATTATAATTTTAATATTTCATGCATGTATATAACAAAGCAGAGTACCTTCTCTACTGTCCTCTTGACTAGCTTTTGAATTTATGGGGACCCATAGTCCTCTTGGTGATTATCTGAATTGTGGCTGCCATATTCGACTAAAAATTGCAATGTACATCCAGTATAATTACAATGTTACGGATGGGGGATTTAAATGGTCATAGACATTTTCAGGTTAATTTTGATAATCAAAATTTGACAATTTTAAAATAAAGCGAATGTTTAATCCGAGTCTACCCAAAACGGGTGCTAATCACTGAGTGTTGGTGCTAATCACTGAATACAGCCAAAATTCGACCACTTATTCCTGTACTCGATTCAAGGGCTGTTCTCACGAGTTGCATACTACCAAAAGATAGTTTAAATAATGAAAGTAGCTAGTGAATTATAAATTAAATTTATCTTTGCTTAACTAAGCAGACAGTATTATATTTTCGAAATGTTAATATGTATTTGTATCAAGGGACATATGACAAAAGAAGTGTATAAAATAATATACTGTAGACGTTGAAGGGTGATAAAAAATGAAGAACGAAGAAAAGGAAATGAAGGAGAGAACGTGATGGTTGGCAGTCTTGCTCCCTCTGATAGATTCTCTATTTCCTGTTTGATTCTCATGGTGCTTTTATATTCAAATGTCTCTTTGCTCTTTCTACTCCATCTATTATTTATTGATGTTTTCTGCATGATATATTGGGACAAAGTGTCACGACGAGTGGAGTAAGTAGAGAAGGCTGACAAGAGAGGAGGTGTTAGTTAGGAATAGAGAGTTTTTAGTATGTCAAATGGACATTAACATGCTGTAAATACCAAAATCGAAAAATAGTCCAGTGTAAAACCCTACAAACCTAACTAATTTAGATCTTGTTGGTCCTGTGATATTGATTATGGGATTGGATTTATATACGTTACGAATAATTATATTATGGCCGCAGACATTACCCACTCTATGAACTAGGACAAATGCACGTCCTTATCCAAATTCGGCAATAAAGACTATATGATATAGGTATATCTTTTTTAACAATAATCTTTAAGAAACTAGTTGAAAGTAGACAACTACTTAAAAATCTAAATTGGTAGAACAATATCAACATAATACACAGTCAAGAAGAATTTCAAACACGAAGCTAGTTTGTCCGCCGAACACTATATTATAGGTATATCAAATGCAAAACAAAGTGTAATATTTCATTGCATTAAATCAGTTTGGTGCACACCTCTCGTTTGACCGAAATTAATACGATTAGGTTTGTTAGGAGCATGGACAAATTATCTTTTTATATTTATACATACTAGGAAACCACCCCGCGCGTAAACGCGCGGGAGAAAAGATGTTTTTTTAAAAGTAATTTTTATATAATTTATATTTGTTAGTCAATCATTTTGAATCATTTAATAAACTAATTATTTTGTACGAAAATCAATACTTAAAAATAATCTTATATAATAGAAGAGTGAAAGTATAATTTGTGTTTGAAAATGTATAAATTTAAATGTTATGTGTTTAGCATAACAATATTAAGTAAACTTTAATATTAAAGTCGCAGTCATTTTCTTTTATCTTTTTATATATGAGAAGACAAACTTTTAAAATTTGTTGAAATGATGGAACAGTTTAAACCTTTTAATTAAATAATATAACATGTTTTAAAACACTGTAATTAATATGCAAAGAACGACATTTTTAAATCTATGACGCTCAGTACCTCCATACAAACTGGGTTAGAAAAACAAAAAAAAAATGGACTTTATCAGAAGAAGAATAAGAGATTACAAAAAAAAAATAGGTTGTTTTCTTACAACCAGATTGGTTTGGATATGGTAGTTTAGTTTCGCTGAAACTAACCTATTAAATTATTTTTGCAGACACCACATTAAATTTTTAAAGATCGTTTAAAACTATATAATGAATCAAACATTATATTCAAGAGTATTAAGAATCATACCTATAGTAGAAAAAAAAAACACATAAATTTTCTTAAAAAATTGCATCTGTAAAACATTCTATTTATAGTAATCTGAAAAGGTACATTGATAGATTATCAAGAGTTGTGTTTTGTTTTAAAATGAATATTTTCAAGAGTTGCGAGGAAAAAAAAGTTCAACCAAATACATTTTCAAGACCATTAGATAGAACCATAATAATTACAACCACNTTGCATCTGTAAAACATTCTATTTATAGTAATCTGAAAAGGTACATTGATAGATTATCAAGAGTTGTGTTTTGTTTTAAAATGAATATTTTCAAGAGTTGCGAGGAAAAAAAAGTTCAACCAAATACATTTTCAAGACCATTAGATAGAACCATAATAATTACAACCACGAGACTGAAACTCTTCAAAAAAATTTTAAAAAGTCAAGAATTAGGGAAAAATATGTCTCTTCAAATTAAAGAGATGTGTTGTTTGAAAAAAAAATAACTGCTCATAGCAATTTTAATTTAAGTATAAAAAAATTATTAAGACCAATAGAAGAAAAAAAAACAATTATAACCAAATATTGTAATCCTTCAAATATGAAAAAGTATGACTCTTTCATGTAAAAAGATGTGTTGTTTGAAAAAAAAATATGTTAATGCCATAAATATTGTATGTCTAAAAATATTTCTTAGGACAATTGCATGAAAAACAAAACAATGGTTGAAAAATTGTACCTTTTCATAATAAACTGAAATATATTAGTTTAAAAGTTGCATCTTTCATTATAAAAATAATTGTGTATTTTCAAAAAAAAAAAGTTGTTGAAAGGTTGTATCTTTTCATAAGAACCGAATTATATTAGTTTAAAAGTTGCATCTTTTTATTATAAATAGAATTGTCTAGTTTCATAAAAAGTTATCTATTATTCTAAAAGTTTCATCTTTTCATTTTTAAAAAAAATTTATGTTTCAGATAAAATAGTTTAAAAGTATTTAAAAGAGGGTATAAGAATTGTGTCTTCTCAAAATAAAAATTGTTGAAAGGTTGTATCTTTTCATAAAAAAACTTAAATATATTAGTTTAAACATTCCATCTTTTCATTATAAAAAGAATTGTGTATTTAAAAAAATCTATTATTTTTAAAGTTGCATAAAAATTTTATTTGGACCATTAGATTAAAAACAAAACAATTGTTGAAAGATTGTATCTTTTCATAAGAACTGAAACATATTAGTTTCAAAGTTGCATCTTTTCATTATAAAAACAATTGTGTCTCACAAAAAATAATTTAAAAATATTTAAAATAGTTATAAGAGTTGCGTCTTCTCATAATAAAAATCTACTAATTATAACAATCTTGATTAATTTTAAAGGCTGTGAATGCCGAATAAAAAGAAAATTGAAACTCTTAATAAAAATGTCTATTAGTGTGAAAGGTTGAGAATACAAAAAAAAATGAAAAGTTGTGTCTATTTAAAGAACTGAAATATATTAGTTTTAAAGGTTGTGTATCTTTTCATAAGAACTGAAATATATTAGTTTAAAAGTTGCATCTTTTTATTATAAATAGAATTGTGTCTTTTTATAAAATAATTTCTATTATTTTAAAAATCTATGTTTTCATTATAAAAAAAAGTTTGTATCTCATAAAAAATAGTTTAAAAGTATTTAAAAGAGGTTGTAAGAATTGTCTCTTCT